ATAACAACGTTCTTTGAACCATCGACTCAAACAGTTTGCCAATAGAGGATAGAATAGAAATGGGCCTATAATTTTTTATATCACTTTTGTCACCACTTTTATGTATAGGTGTAATATGAGCGATCTTCCATTTTGTAGGAAACTGGCCATGTTCGAGGGACTTGTTGAATATGAAATACAGTGGCGTAACTAATTGGGATGCACAGGTCTTAAGAAGAAGGGGTGGTATGCCATCTGGCCCAGGACCTTTATTTGTATCGAGTTTTTGCAAGGCTTGTAGTACATCAGATTTGGAAAAAGTACACGAATTGATGGATACATGAGAGTTAGATGGCTAGTTAGTTATCCATACACATTGAAATCGTTAAGATACATTTGATCAGGGATATCGGTACTGTTAGATCTAAAAGATTTGATAAAGTCCAGAAATATTTGGGATTCTTTTTAAGGTGTAATTTGGCATTCGACTTAAAATGAGAGTAGCAATCAATTATCATTTTGTTGCAACGTGTGCGAAGCATTTTAAAAGTTAGATAATCTCTCGGATTGTCGTATTTTTTGAAGCGTTTGTGAATTAAAATGAAATGAAGTATAGGAATAAAAAAGCAAAATGGTACCTACCTACTCATCGTGACCTCTTGATTTATTATAATTGTTACGGAATATCAAGGAGGAGGGGGTAGGAACGAGACGCGAAACGCGCGACTAATAAAAAAATCCCACCAATTTTTGCCGCTCTATGTCCGGGCCTACTAGGCCTGTAGGAAAGACCGCCCCTGCATATCAATATAATTTCAGCAGCTCTGTTTGAACAAACGTTTTTGTTAAGTTTTTCGGCATACCTAGCCACTTCAGAACAATTGAGGATTCTACCCAGAAATCAACCCTATTTAGTTCAGAACACAATGATTTGCAGTACAAGTAAGGTTGCAGAAGCGTTGGGAACCTTTAAGATAGATTATCCCACTCGACACGAAACACAGAATCGTAAACAATTCTATTACGTCGATGTTCCTTCCCTGTACTTATAAAAGAATAAACAAGAACCATATATTTTCGGAAGCTCTCACCGATAGTATCCCACCATTAATACGTAATGATCACGGCAAGCGAGACTACCAGTCCACCACTTCCATTGCTCCCCCTTCTCCAATATCTAAAGGCCGTCTGCATAAAGCGCCTTAAGAACTGCCGCCTTACTCCTCAAATTCGATTCCAATTAGATTTTGTTTTCGATTCGAACTCACTCTTGACTCGATTTGAAAACCTTACTCCCGAACCGAATCGAAACTAGAAACAAGATCGCGCGTTATGAAATCCGTGAACCGTATCCGACCTATTACGTTACAGACAAACGTACGTTTACGTTATAACATCTTTCTTACATAACATTTTAATTGCTTAATTTCCTCTAACATAAAAACAACGTTGAGGTTATTTATTAATATATATAAATTTACAAAAGTACATATTAGTATTATATTGCGCCACACAGCTGAAGTTGCTACGTCAATATTAATGGCAACATACACCTTCCATCTCTTGTAGAAATTTCAACAATTAAATACGATGAAACTACACGCATAATATGTAAACTAATGTAGCATAATTGAGGTGCGTGGTATTTGCGCAAATTTGTTATCATTACTTAACAATTTTCCTGCTTCGTTACGTTGATGAGCTCACCAGTTAGTCAGCGAAACTCGAATAATACGTATATATATATATTATTATATATACAGATTTTTAGTGACAATTGACTTAATATAAATATTGAAACGCAAAGAAAGAGGTTAGACAATTGGAAGAAATCTAAGTGAACGGGACCAGAAACTTTTTGAGACGGTGATATTTAACTAAGCCATATTACAGATGACAAAATAAATGAATATTAGTAGAATATTAGTATGACGTAATACAATTTAAGATGTCTCAAAAATAGTAAATCAGCATTTATTTATGTAGGTATTAAATTTTATATTTATTTTCAAAATGCCAAAATGCTTTAGTTTAGACGTAATTCTCCTGCGTTATCTTTATAAAATGAGAACGTTGCCTGAATCACAGACTGATTTTTTATCGCAAAAGCAAACCTCTGATAGCGTGTCATTCAACCTCTTTAGAAAAAAATCTGATTACTTCCTCTGTGTCGTAACGAAGACCTTTCATATCTGGCAGCTTCGCAACTCTTTGCCAATGTCTTGGAGAATCCGAGCGTGACGCGAAACGGCTGTATACCTCTATACTGGTTTACATGCCCACTAATGTGACATGTACTACGTAAAGTATTTGAAAAATAAATTGGCAAAAAATGTGCCTAATATTACATTAATTATTATCAACTGAGCTCTTGACACAAGATGGTTTCTGTTAAAGTTAAAAACGAAATAGTTGCAGTCATAGATTAAGTACAGAAACATAAATCGCATAATTACAAGAAACTATCATGTATAGGACTTAGACTATACAAGTGAAAATAAACACACTGTGAACTCTTCTTTAGGTAAATTTTAGGAAAAATACGTACATTCGTTACGTACGTAGTAAAATTTTTAAATATCATGAATATTTATTCAATAATATGATAACTTATAAATGATAGTTCAGTAACCGGGCGCTAGATTTTAATTCAATATTCTCGAGCAACCTGAGTTCAAATCCAGAAGCTAGCACCAATGATATCGTTAATAACAATTTTATGTGCTAACTTTCATGTGGAGAAGGAAAACATCGCGAGGAAACCTGCATATTTTAGAACTAATAAAAAAAAAAAAAAAAAAAAAAAAAAAAAAAAAAAAAAAAATATGTCAAACATATGTGAAGTCCGCCTGAACGCAGTGGTGTCGCGTGGTGGACCTTTCCAGATGCCCTAATACCCTCTGAATAAAGGAGGCTTTTAGAGCAGTGGGATATATTATATAACTTTTTAAATTTAAGTGTTAACGAGTTATCTCTAAAAAATTTTTGTTAAAATTTTACCATTTCAAAAGCAGCTCGGTTACATCAATGATCAATGAAATAACGTAACTTTCATTACTAACAGTATTATATAAAAAAAAAAAAAAAATACCAACAATTTACAATAACACTATTGTAAATTTTTGGTATTTTTTGTGCCTATTGTTACCTTTTTTTCAGTAGCAAATGTCTATACGTATCGATTTGAATGACGACTAAAGCGGTATTTCAAATTTTAATCCCTCTTAGAAGTTGTAAGAGTGTCTCTCCGCGTGTGTAGTACATCCCGCCATCTGTCGGACGTTTTCCATATTTTCACTGTTGGGAATAAATATGTGAAACAAAATATACCTCGTTTTGTCAGATAGTTGTAATTCACCAGCAAAGTTCGAGAGGTTATCGTTTCCGAGGGGACTTAACGCAATAGTGGTCAGACCTTGATTTTTGTAGTCTAATCTGTCTTACGTCGATCTAAATAAAACATCATGACCCATTTTTTCAATGAATGATTTCCAATGTAAAAGCTATGTGTATCATAAACTCTACCCCAAAACTAAGTTTCTTTCTATAATTACCTTAATTTTTGTAGTCTAATCTAAACTGTGTTTAATCTGTAGTACTTTAATTTAAATAAAAATCCTTGTCCTTGACCCATTTATTAAATAATGATTTCTAATATAAGAGATTCAAAGATAAAGTATCATAAACTTTACCCCAAAATTGTGTAAAAAGAAAGAGAGTCTTTCTGTAATATTTGCAGACGTTTCACTACACAACGGCTTAATAAATGTTTATGAATTCGCGCTGCATATGTCTTTAGAAACGGTTACTGTTGCTCGATTTATTTTACATTCACAATACCAGATAAATGTCAGAAGTTGCGTATCAGACTCCGAGTTGGGCAATCTCTTAAGCTCGAAGCGTAACAATCTAACAGATTCGCTATATTAGAGCTAACGGATAGAAATTTATTTTTAGTTATTTGATCCTTCATGTTTATTATAAAGTCGCATGTGATCTGTTTGTCGTTGCAATAGAATTTTTTGATTAACCGCAAAATGTCTTTGTTCTTAATATTAATTTTTCAAGGCATATCAGAACTGGATCGTTAATAGGAAATGATTTTTACGAATAATTTTAATTTCGTTATGTAAAAGAAAAGAAAATTAATTGTCTCCCTGTAATTATATTTTAGCTCGGTACTATCATTTAAATATATTGTTTGGTGGTAGAAATATCACTAAATATCAGGTGGGATGGCAGCCAAGTGCTGGTCAGTTCTAAATAAAAAAAAGAATTAGTTTTAAAACTATAAAAGCATCGTAGTTGGATAGTCAAAATTAATTGTTAAGCAATAATCTAGGCCAAGTAGCCAACGCGGATGTTTTAATGCTGACTTAATAAAACTTACAACAGAATATATTAATAGAAACGTAAGCGGTACATTAATACTTTTCCGTATAAGGCCCAAGTGGAATAGTTAGATCCAAGAATATATTTATGAACAGACATAAATGAGAACGATGATAAGAATACCGAATTTAGATCATTCAATTAAATCGAAACAATGCTAAGTACCTATATAAATATAAAATTGCTTGTACAATCAATAAGTAATTAATCAATTGATAAATTTTCAAGACTTTAATAGCAAATGCGATTGCGAGTGCGACCCAGTATAATTATATATTTTTAATGTTTGTGTGCGGCTAATTTTAAAAATTTTTAATAAATTTAATAATTACTCAGTGCACTTTTTGTGAAGTGAATACCTCAATAATCGGGGCAATTACACTATAATATTGTTATAAACGAAAAAAAACCATTAAAACTGGCGGCAGTTATGTCTCCAATCCGTACGCGGAGGGATATACAGTTTACAACGCACGCGACCAAACTAATCTGCCAGGTCAAGTTCATTTTGTGTTTACTCCGTGTTAACATTAGCGAAATGTTGAGAAAAAAAAAAACTAACCAGTTGATATGCCGCCACGACGCGGCGTGCTTTATTGTAACTATGGCTTTATTATAATTAGGCCGAAATGTCTTTTGGGTTGTGCGTCGCGGTGTTTCTGTGGTGTGGGTTGTGTCAGAGTGAGCAGAGTGATCTGGGCTACGGACTGAACATCGGCAACTCTATCGACGTGTTCGCAAAGTGAGTAATTGCACGTACCTAATCATTTAAGTGTTTAGATCTGGCGGCGTATATTTGAACCATTGTTTGTACCTATATTTCTTAAAAATCCTTCTCAACATTTAAATAAGTAATAAAAAGTATGCTATTTTATTTAAGGTTATGACAATATGATACAATTATTTTTATAATTTTTTGACTTTTTTGTTTTTATTGTTGGTTTTTTTAACGCTCTACATTCAAATCCATATCATTAAGAATTTAAATTTTTTATTACATTACATATAACATATTGTTTGTTATATACTTTTTTGTAATGAATCCATCGAAATTTCCTCTTACGTGTTTTTGGTGTAAGTCAGTAAAGATATTATAGTAATTATGTCGTCTCATTCACCGTTTGAATATAAGAATGGCAACCATAAACTAATAATATGTCATAATTTTATTATAGTAATATAACATTTTTATCCAAATACGGGAAAATAATGCACTATATTTCTTTTGTTTCTAGTTATTGCAATTTTACCTTGTGTAGCTATTTTCTTGTGCGTAAAAGTCGAAATTATGACGTGAATTTTCTTATCCGTAATTTATGTATTAAAATCACATTTAAATACGTCGTATACATTTCTATTTTTAAACTACGAAAATAGTGTATTTGGGTAAGGCAGTTAAGTAAAGACAGCAAAATTCGAATTGTAATTTGCCATAGATGTGTACAGATAAAGTGCGTAAGTCTTCATTAAAACACGCAAAATGTAGTAGGTAATTGCTGACGTGATTTCTCTGAACTAAATATTTTAAACAATCGAATGGAAACATTTTCAATTTTCATAACTACGTGGTTTACGATCCCTTTTCTTTTATTAATTAGAAAATATTACGAATTATTATTATAAAACTAATTTCGCTTACTAGATTTTCGCATTTTCATAGGCTAGACAAATAAGATAGTTTCACAATAAATCGCGATTTGCCCGGACTAGGTTTCTAACTTGTGTTTTTGCCACCATGAAACATATTTTGGATTTGTTTAGCTGGTCGGAAAAAGCGAACCTATCAAGACCCAATTTACAATTAAAAAGAGGTACAAGCTACTACAAGCTCTGTAAAACGTTTCCTATAAAAGAAGACACTTAAAATGTCCTAACAATTTGAGAAGCTTATGAAAAACTCTACGTTATATGCTTGCAAACATAATTAAGTGAACGTTTTGCATCAGTTTCCCATTTCGTTATCTGAACCTTGCAACTAAAATTGGATTGGAAGGAAACCGCTTCTTTCCAAACGAGTGAGTGGCTAGGGATTTGTATTTTATGTGGTATTTGGGAAGTAAGTCCCAACGACCAATGCTGCAACCAAGAAGATCTATTTTAATATTCTACTACTAAAACATCGCCCCTTACTGTAGGATAACAAAATCCCGTTTTGTAAGGACGTTTTACCTAGGTAAATTTCACGTGGACAAACACCCAGATCCGAACACAAACACCGAAACCGTTGTCTCGTGCGGGAATCTAACCGAAAGCCCCGGCGCCGAAACCAATGCCTTCTCAACTGCATCACGGTCATCGACTAACTACCAGTTCCGCTTCCAGCTATGGCGACCTATCTCAGGTCACTCAAGTCGTCTCCGCGGACTACGAGGACAGTCCGCCTCACGTGGAGCCGTTCCGCGAGAAAAACATCCGCGTGTTCCTCAACGTCAGCAGCCGGCAGGTCAGCGGGGAGACCATGGTGGACATGAACATCCAGCTCTGCGAGACCTTCGACGATCTATTGGCGACCTACTTCGAGAACTTCAGGATAGAGGGGTGAGTGTGAGAGGTCGTTTCGAGTAGTACGGTGTGCCAGCGCTCTTCGTGGTAACGGCAACGATGCAATTGTCATTTTTACAATTTTAATTACATACTTACCATTTATAACACAATCGAAGACGATAGATTTAACTTCTAAGTATTCGCTGTTGCACAAATAGGCAGGTCCGTCCGGGGAGTTACCACGACCTCAAAGAAGACCGGCGTGAAGTGGAAATGTTGCACTATTGCATTTCGTCTGGTAAGGGTCCACATTCTGTTTATGTTACATCGGTTCGTGCTTGACTACTACTCAACCAGCAGCCGTAGATGGTAGACGCAAGCCCAGCCTTTCACTACTTTCAAAAGAGCTCAGTTGTCGAATAGGTCGTTAAGTTTCAAGGCGTCTACAGGATTTTTCATTGATACAATAATATCAGCTGATTTTCACTACCACAGCTGATGGAGGCTTCGAATAGAAATATTGACTGACTTGCCAATCTTTGTTACCAAAGATTGGAGACTGTGGCATAACATTTCGCAAGCGATCTGCGAATGTAACAGCAAATGTTTATTGTGGTAGTCCCGCTAGAGTGTTGCATGAATGGGTAGGTTCCGGGAATCACCACGTCTGACAACACAGCGGCGTAAAGTGGCAGTATTTACGACTTTGAATTTCGTCGGGGCAATAAATCGCACGGTTTCTTGAGCAACGGTACTTTATAATAGGTGGATAACTGTCAATCTGACAGTGATGGCAACCGTCTCCCATAAAAAAACGCCCGACTTTACTTTTCGTAAACCTGAGAGAACCGCTGCAGAGAACCGTTGAACAGAGAACCTACCCGGCACAAATTACCTTCAGTTTCTATTGGGGCACATTATTTAGTATTCATTAGTATTATTATCATTCATTAGTATATTAAAGACAATTCCACGATGGGTGTTAACGCGACGGCTCGATGTTGTTCAAATAATTTATCGCTAGTGCTGCCAGTGTTTTTAAATTACTATAACACTTAATATATCACTTCCATTACTTTTTATAAATTGTAACATTTTAATCGATGTCTCGTATTTGTTTTTCTAAAACATTGCCCTCACTTTAGGATAACATTATCCTGTGTTGTAAGGACGTTTTACAAACATTAATTGCACGAGGAAAAACACCCAGATGCTAAACAACTATCTGTGGATCGCACAAATAGTTGCCCCGTGTGGGAATCGAACCCACGACCCCCGATGCCGATGCCAATACCTTGGCAACAGCGCCACGGAGTCTCCTACGAATTTATCTACGGAATTTCGAAGTTCCTAAACAATAAATTCTATTAAAAAAAAATGAATTTGTTTAAACTATACTATATTTTCTATATCATTTAGTAAAAGAACCGCAGAACGATAACTTAGCGTGCTAAAAAAGTTATATAATAAACTATAAGATTGATTCATCTAGAACAGACAAACCCTGGAAGGCTTTCTTGGGCGACTGGATTCAGGACGAGATAATGCGCGCCTTCGGAGTTGAATACGACGCGAAACCGGACAACTGTTGCTACGTGCTCGTGAAGCTGATGAAAGTGCACAAATCCGTGCAGTTGGAGAGCTTAAAAGGCATCGCTGTCAAGGATTACGTCAAAAGGGCCATCGAGAACCTAAACGTCAGCGATCCGAGTGACGTGAGGAAGTTCATGAAGAGCTACGGGACTCATTACATCGATTCGTACGTGACGGGCAACTTTATTTACCAGGTCAGTGTTTCTTTCTTTTATGAAATCGCCTATCTAACGGCCAGTACATTTTCACATTAAAAGAACCGCCATCTCGTAACGAGTAGAATGAACTAAGTGTCAGCAATGAATATAATAATTAATATTAGAAATGTATGTCATTTACCAAATAAATTAAATGCTTGTTGCTTTGTTTTTGATTAATGTAGTGAGTACCTTTTGCCAGGCAGTGGGACATGTATAGGCTGTTACTTTACTTATTATTTTTTTTTAAATGTACTGAAATCTCTATTTATTTATTCTTTTCTACACATTATTGTAGTGTCAGCTAGTGAACTTAGAGTGGGATTGTCAAACGTTTTTTTATTACGTTTTTTTTTTTAATTTTATTGATCAGTGTTATTAACGCTTAAATATTGGAGCGCTTTTTGTAAGGTCTGTATGCCTTTCAGATACAAATATTTGATTGATAGCTGTCTTTAAAGAAACCCGTTAAAATAACTGAAAATCGATTCATTAAAAAAATTTGTTAATATGTATTAAAGACAGTTCTATAATTGATAAAGTATACATATATTTTGAAGACACAATTGGCTTAGTGGATACCTGTCTCTTGCGCTAGAGGGTGTGAATTCGATTCTCGCTACTGGAAAAATACTATGGGATGAACATAGTGTACCGTATTTCTAGTGTTTAGGTATTTGTATATCTATATGTGTGTTTACGAAATAAAAGTATGTTTAAGTATGTTTATCAGGTACCCCAAGTCTAAGTTTCACTAGTTGGACTAGCTGACGTTGTATTAAAATATTTTTACAGGTCTTCAAATACAAGAGGGCCGGTTACAATCTATTGCGTTCATATATACGACAACGCAACGCTCGTCATTCAAGTTCCGATAACCTGAGGTTTTATTTCTCGTCGTACTTTCTCAAGCAAGTTGGGGAAATCCGGGTGAGTACGTGAACACTTTGTCAACTGACGACTGTATAATATCAAGAATAAAATTAATATTTCAATATTCATTACAAAATCCAACTGACATTTATTCAATTTCCTTCCTTCGTTCTCAAATTTTACTTACATACATTGATGTGGGGTCTAACACATCACTGGGGATTGGCAGACTTCAGATTTTTTGACACTATGCTACCCTTAATAGACGAATTAGAGGAACCCTCTCCCATAATCATATTCTTCTTTCTCTTCTGTTCTAATTAACTATTCTGTTATAAAAAGTATTAATTTCGTATCATTCATTCATCAAATGAATCATCATTTTACAAATCACCCGAGAGCGATACAAATAACACTTAATTTTGTCGACTCACGCCCGGTTTTTGAAACACTGATCATCGCCGATGTCAATGGCTTTTCAAATATCATTTTAGTTGCCAAAAGGTTGGTTAAACTCTTTGAAATGATCATTCTGATCATTGAGATGATCATTCTGATCAATTCAGAGAGTTTAACAATCCTTTTGGCAACTCTAATAACATTTCAAATTCCATTTGACAGCTGATTAGTTGACTCCTACGATGATCAGTGTTTCAGAAACCGGGCGTTAGATTCGCCATTTAATGACCAACTGACTTCGTAGAGTACATTCTATCCATTTCAATCTTTTCGAACAAGTTTCTATACAAAATTTCTATCCGTTTACATAAAAATAATTGTCTTCGTTTATCAAGTATGTCTTCTTATGACAACCAATCGTCCGATGGGCAAAACTTTTGAGCTGTTAGCAAGTTGGCGATGATTTTATAGGTGCGCATATAATATTGAGGCACTAGCTAGTGCAATGTGTCTTGATCTTGATTCAACTTTAAAAATATCAAGAAGAATATTGAACTTTAATAAATATCAAGAATCATGATTCTTGATAGAAGTCGTAAAGGAACGAGAGCAATTCACCTATTGGTGATTAAGGTAGTACGTTTCTCTTCTTGTTCTTCTATAATCATAATACTTAGAAGATCATTCAGTTCAATTCAGAGAATTTAACCATCCTTTTGGCAACTAAAATGAAATTTGAAAAGCCATTTGACAGTTGATTAGTTGACATCTACGATGATCGGTGTTTCAGAAACCGGGCGTGAATGTAATCTATGACGGTTTAATTAAACGTCAAAAAGTCGTTATTGGTTACCATCGTGATACCGTGAAGTTGGTCAAATTAGCAACCATCATGTCGCTTTTCGGCTGTCGGTTTGCGCGCGCATTGTATAAATTTTACACTGCTCATATCTCTTTCGAAACGCGCCAAAACATGTGTAAATTCGAAAACATTAAAATCCCATGCTACAACTCGCAGATCGCCAGCGGCAACAAGACGGTGGAGACGTGGGCGAAGTTGAACCTGCGCGACAGCCAGTATCTGTACTCGAGGCCGAGCCTGCTCCGGCTGCACTACAACCCGGTGCTGGCCTTCAAGCTGAACGACCTGCTCGACAGCGGGGCGCTGCTCGGCCTCGGTCTGAAGACGCTGCGACCGCTGTTCGAAGACCGGACCAAGGCCGAGATGTTCGCCGAGATCGTCGAGAACGACATGAAACTGTGGGAGGTCAACGCCTAGGTCGATTGTTGCGGTCCCATCGATACAATACTATTCGTCGATTGCATACGGGTAGCGGAAGCTTAGTAATAGTCCGTTGTTACAAAAAAAAAATGGCAACTTGAAAAAAACTTGTCGTGCGTATTGAAAAAAAAAAAAAAAAAAACGAAAAATGAATAGGTACGCAGCGAAAGTTTAGTAATAGTCCGAACGGCCACAAATAATGGCCACTTGAAAAAACTTTTCTGTTGCTGTATATTTAAAAAAATACGACGGAAAAATACTTACTTCTGATTGTTCACAGTTAGTTAGAGTCCACGACATTTAAATTGATTAACTTCGCCTCGCTGGTTTGCTTTTCATGGGAATCTTACTATTTAAAATTTTTATATGAGAATTAAATGTTGAGATTTACAATGTTAATATGACGGCTCACGTGCTTTTCAAGAGCGGTATGTCGTTTCATCTACAGTATTTTACAAATAAATTGTTTAGAAAGAAAGACAGTTTTTTTTTTTCGTGTTTAATTATGACAGATTGTTACACATATTACCGATATATTTCAGCAAAGTGACAATTAATATTTGAATTTTTTTAAGAGACATTATCTATGATATTATATTAGTCACTGTTAAATCGAGATCTGTCCTATATGAACTACCCATTATTAAGATTAAGCTACATATCCAATACAAAAATTTCCAATGCAAAGACTACTTATATTGTACAGCGTGTCGTTACCATCGCGACAATAAATGAACACATGTCTAACGCTACTTGCCAATAATCATAAAAAATACTAACGTTAAACAAAATCCATAATAAAAAAAAAATATTTTTCAAACAAACTAATTAAGTAAAAGAGAAACAAAATTTGTAACATCCTATACAACTCGCGCCACAGCGTCGCATTACAAGCCTCTCCTTTAAACATTATGTTTTGTCTCTTTTAAATTCATTCAACCCATTCATATGCTTTGTGACCTTTACAAATGAACTTTACGTTACAGTTTTATATGTAATGTGTTCTAAAATTCTTTGTTTTGGAAAATTTAATAACTATGTAGATATTGATGTTTAAGGAATGTAAATGTTTACTACAATTTTAAAAAGTTATTCCCTATATGTGTGTTCATTTATTGTCGGGATTGTAAAGACACGCTGTATATACATAATTTAACACCATATATTTGCCTTTATAGACATAGCTGCCTCACAGAATAAATTTAAAAAATAACTGTAGTAACAGTATGTAGTTAAATTACAAATTTAAATATCGATTGAGTTTAAAGTTCGATATTTGTGAAATATCGATATCGGATTTCAAAAAATAATACATCATTAGTAATACATACACTTTATATTGGCTGAGTAATTGATTATCATTCATTTTAAGAAAGGTAAAGCACATATAGATTATATTGTTTTTGTTGTATTAAAAATTTTGTTGAGTAATTTTAAAGGCAAATCATTCCACAAAACAAAGTGAACCAATACTCTAACACAAATAACGAGAGGAATTCATAATAGTAGATATTCAATATTAATGACAATATATGGGAACAATTAAAAACATTCCACTGTCATATTATTGTTACATTACATTTTCCATTAGTATTTTACCAATAGTAAAGTACAAAGGTATACATAATTATAATTGACTTACAACTATCATTTTGTTTTAGCCATTAATTTTAAAGAGATCAGATTAACAAGCAAAATTAAACATAATATATTCTAATCTATAAATTTAGTATTAGGCCATACATTTATCAGTCACACATGTTGACAGTTGTTTAACCACCAAAGTATGGCAGTTAAAAAGCAGCCCTGTGTCCGGTTACCTCAAAAGCACACATTCAGGTTACTTTAACCTTTCTAAAAGTCTATCATAACTTACCTAATGACTTGTAACATTAATAAAATAATATAATTTTATAAAAGCTATTATTTTGCAAAGTAAAAAGATAATTGTAACAAACTATTTATGTGCTTGTAAAATACGAAAGATTTTGCGCTTTTTATGTTTATTAAAATGGTATTTGTGGAGGTAAAAAGTACGACAGACAAATAGATGTAACTATTCACAGAAATCTTATTGAAACATTATATAGTATCCCCTTTTTTATAAATCTTATTTCAGCATACATAATATTCAAATAAGGTCTTTATAAAAATGTGCGTTAGTCATTTTACAAACTTTAGTTAATGACACATGATTATATATAATAAAAATATTTCATACTACATATTATATTTCATTTAATAAAATTTAAAACTAACAACCTAATATTATCACTTGGTTATGTTTGTGAAAACCTATCATTATCAAATGTAACATTCAATAATACTACAAAGCTGATTATCGTCTCTAGTGAAGATAATAGTGCAGAAAATACTTGTGTTCTTTTAAAGAGTATTTTTAAGTCATAAAAAATAGACAAGTGTTATATAGCAAACAGCAGACAATATATCAAGTAAATGTACTCATACAAATTATCATAACATAAAAAAGCCTGTTACAATAATAGTAAACAAGGAGCATTTTATAAAATGCATATTGCTATCAATGAAAAAGTTTTCATACATTGATACCATATTATATATTCAAATTGTACTAGCGCTAACCTCAAACCTACAAGTGTAGAAGAAGTGTACTATCATTTATCACTATATATAACATATTGATATAAACATATATCAAGAAAGAGGCATTGTCTATATCTACAGTCACATTTATCAATATACTGAAGTAAGTAAACCTTATTGAACAATTTAACATTATTATGATTAGCAATATTTGCAATAAACTGAAGTAGTATTATGCAAAGTGAAGTAAACTGAAGTATTATAGCAATCAGGTAAGCCACTATTATATCATCCTGAAGCGTCGTAAGCACACTGTTGAACAGCACGGCTCACTGTTAAAGATAAATTTCCCAGCAAAGTATTGCAAGCATGAAAAACCAACAACATCTAACCCTCAACGGGCGGGTGAAAAGTCTTTTTCGTGGTCGCTATTGAGGTGTGCAGGCTTAGTGCAAAGCCTGGTCCCTCAATAGTCGCGTTAGTCAGTGGATCTCGTAGGTGCTGGTGACCTTCGTGCTGGCGAACTGGTTCCTTCCCACGCGCTTTCCATTCACTAGCAGCAGCAGCGGGCTGTTCAGCCTCACCGACTTGAAGTTGTATGTCTGGCGGTTTAGGAGAACTAGTGATTATTATATATCATCACCCCCATCATCATCATCGTCAGCCCCCTGCCGGGCGTAGGCCTCCTCCCTATTAAATATGAGCACTTCAAGAAAGCAGTAATATTTTATTTTGAAAATAAATAACCAGAAAAATATCAATCCAAACATTATTTGTTTCTCCCGTTAAGAGTGGTCACCTTAATAAGCAGTTTAGTAATTATGCGTTCAGCGAAAAGTTTTAGTGCTCGTGAATAGATTATTGTATTAAGACGGTAATGCAGGAATGTCTTAAGGGGTCCATAATGTTTGAAAAAGTTAAAAATCATCTTTGAAAAAAAAATTGAGGTCACAAGTACGTACCAGATTCAGATTTAGAATCAAATTCTGCATACGCTCTGTCAATATATCCGCGAGTGCTAGGAAATCCGAAATTTCACGTGGGAAAAACCCAGATCCGAAACAATCATCTGTGGGTCACACAAATAGTTGAATCGACTCGTGCGGGAATCGAACTCAAGACCCCCGGCGCCGGAGCCGATACCTCGGCAACTGCGCCACGAAGATTTGCAAAAAGCCAATCATTATAGCGTGGAACAATAATTATTTAACAATAATAATTTTCGGCAAACTCACCGCAAGTGGCGACTCCAGCTTGTGGGTCTTCAGAACTGGCTCCGGTATGGCGATGCAATCGCCTATTATCGCCCCCCGACCGTCGGCCCAGTTGTAGACCGTCACGCAAATGCACTCCAAACTTTCGTCCACGATGGCGAACGTGCTGGAAAACGGCAATTTTTCTGGCATATTACCCTGACTCCGTACATTTTTTATGGGAAAAGTTGGCAAGCGAACAGACGTTTCAATCGATGTTGAATGATCACCGCCGCCAATGGGCATATGTAACACCAGAGTGTGATGCGTTGGCAACTTTTTTATGAGTGGGTCCCGGATACCTCACTCACCAGACGAACTGCAAAAGTATTATACTTCTACTTTAAGGCCTACGTTTAGTCAATTTTTATGTTTACGCGGACAACACCCATTATTGAATAAAACTATTTTAACGCATTATACCGCAATTTTAAGTTTTTTTATAGTGCTTATCTCTGCACTTAAGATTAAACATTGAAACTTGTAGAAAAAGTATGAAAAGATTGTCTGATCTTGATCTTTTCGGATTATATCGCAGTTAGGTTTATACAAACTTACACGTATCTTTCTTATCCTTTAAACGAGCAATTCTTGTATATGTATATATATATATATATATATATATATATATATATATATATATATATATATATATATATAATCGGAATCTCGGAAACGGCTCCAGCGATTTTCATGAAATTTAGTATGTGCGTAGATTCGGGGCCGAAAAATCGATCTAGCTAGGTTTCATTTTTAGAAAATGTCCTTTTATCCCTGTTTTCAGGGAATGAAAAATATAATTTGAATATGACGGTAAATTTCGCCGCAAGAGAAAGTGTCATAATAGCTCGGTCGGTAATCAGGCGGCCCCAAAATATACGGCCGTGGTTCTCGTCACGATCATTTACACATTTATTTTTTTACTTTTTTTTCTATTCCAGATCATTGCTTTCTTCATTTTTATTTTTTGTCGATTTGTTATTTTGTTATTTTTTTTCCCTTTTTTTTAAAGTTCTTTCTTTTGTGAAAAACATCAGTTCGTATTTTCTTATTATTACGTCGGTAAGATCGAAAAATATTATGCATATTTCATTACGCAGTAATTTGTATCTAAATGTAATTTCCAAAATACACGATTTACCAAAAAGAAACAAACCGAGCAAAGCTCGGTCATCCGGGTACTACTTACATAAATCGTAATCGTAAAAATAGTTTGACTAATATTTAGATTTAAAATATTCAGTAAGGCGTTTCCAAATCCGCCAGGGTCCATAATCTACTTATGGTTGATTTCTACCGACGAGCCTCTAAACTCGCATTTTTTCAAACCCCTGTCTCCTATACTTCCAGTCTCCACCGGTATTTTCTTTATTATAATCAGCAATCAATATTACGGCAAACTAACACGATAAAAGTCCTCTCTCTAAAAACGTATTCAAAAACTATTTCGACGCTGTATCGTTAAATCGCAACCAGTCGAAAGTGATTTGGATCGCTATACACTTTTTAAAGTTCACTTGAACGGGAATTGACTAAGCCGAACGGCATACATAGTCAAATTACCGTCAGATTTCTTTCTTTGTAGACTATTTGAGGAACAGGAAAATATTATACAAGTAGATTTTGATACGTAATAGATCGGTTTAAAAGTTATTTTCATCAAAGATGCGCTGATGATCGTGCTTCGTGGCAGTCTATGGGGGTGGCCTGGCCTATGTTCGGCAGTGGACTCAAACAAGCTGAAATGAGATATTGATATGTACCATGTTTATGAGGATAATGTTGTGTAAGTTATTAGTATTATGATCTTCTTAAACGATTTTTCCTTCTCAGTTCTTTGGCTGGTTTTATCTGGACCGGACCAAAGCCGTGTGGTTTATATTTCATGACGAGGGAGTGTTTTCGTCTAACTGCATCGACTTCCTAACAATTCTGCGAGTTATTATTACTATTTTAAGCGAAATCCGGTGTTAAGGTACTCACAACGGTACTGCGTTCTCGTTGTGTATGGAGCCGACGACCTTGCCCAGCACCACTTTGCCCTCGTTGACACCTTCCACTAGTGTGTCAAGTCGGCAGAGCTCCAGCGTGACGTCACGCCTACCGCCTAGGTTGTGGAAGGTGCCCGGGCTGTACGCACCCAGCATCTTCTTGTCCAGAGTCTGTGACGTCATCGTTTTAACAGCTTTAGTAACAACCGTATCCGATTCAAGTTGTTTAACGAGCGAAATCTACCGATCCTAACGCGTTTTTCAATATGCCCTAACAGCTTCTAGGCCGAGAAGGCATTTGCCCAGCACTAGCGCATATAACATATAGGTCGTAACTTAATAATAGTATGGTCTATTACTTAATTTAACCATTCATAGCACTTGGGTCACGTTGCAATGGGATTTGGATTCGTAGAAAAATTACCAATAATCGGATAAAAGTGGGTTAGAACCATAAAAAGATGTTCAAATAGCACACAAAAATTTGTGTGCTCCATGAACCGTTTTATGCGAGAAAGTGGCAAACGAGCTGGCGATTCAACTGACGTCAAGTGATAGCCGCCATGATGTGTTGATGCGTTGCCGCCGTTAAATGAAGTGGGCCCCGGCTACCTCACTCACCGGACGATACGCAGAAGTGTAACACTTTCACCGGTCTTCTGTGAGCTCGCGGTACTTCCCCGGACGAACCTGCCCATTCGTGCAACAGCTATCAACTTTGCGTGGCCCTGCCACACGTCTATAGTTTAAGTTAAAATGACATTCATTGGTTACATATATGTTTGATTATAAGTAGGTACCTACTGCGACTAGATTTTTTTTTCTTTATTAAAACATCGCCCTTACTTTAGCATAACATTATCCTGTGTTGTAGGGACGGTTTACAAACATAAATTTCACGCGGACAAACACCCAGATGCGAAACAACTATCTGTGGGGTCACACAAATAGTTGTCCCGTGTGGGAATCGAACCCACGACCCCCGACGCCGAAGCTGATACCTTGGCGACTGCGCCACGGAGTCATGAAATAACGTCTCTTTGGTCTACACGACCAGATCATGTCTCTTTGGTCTATTGGAAACCCCGTAGGTTTCTTAAATCTGTTCATTCGTGCAACAGTGAACACCGTTGCGTGGCCCTAACACAGTTCTAGTTTCCGTTTAGCAAGAGCTACATGCCTGCATCAGCTGCGTGAGCCGCTTGCTCTTCAGCTTCCCGCGCGTCCTCACCAGCTCGTTGGTGGCGGCGAGGTAGCTGGCCAGCTTGGCCAGCTCGGTCCGCGGCGGCTGCCAGGGCGGGTCCAGGCGGCAGGCGTAGTCGAAGTTCTCCAGCGCCTCCTGGTAGTTCTCCTCGTACTTCAACGCCTGATGGGAACGACACTCGGGATAAAATAGGTGACATCTTCTATAAGTGTAAACAACTTCAAACATTTTTTTTTAAATCTACACTAATGGAAAGGGCACATCTTATATGTGTAAGTGTAAACAACTTCAAACTTTTTCTTTAAATCTGCACTGATGGAAAGGGCCTATTATATCGAACCTATAATATCGAAGAATACATTGATGACACGTACGTGTGGACGTGACTCTTGCTCCTCACTTGCAAGTTCCGTGGACGATATTAATTTTATACATAAGTAGTTACATAATTAACAAAAAGAAATAATATCTTATGTGTGTGGTTTCTCACTGACCAGACGAAAATCGCTATTAAACAAACAAAAAAAATTAAAAAAATCATTGTTAACACACACACAACATCATGTAGAAACAACAAACAGTCGGCGCAATAAACGGGAAAACGACACTTACAATTCCTTTGTTGTAGTACAAATCGGGTTGTCCCTTAACCACGGGGTCGGTCCCGGCCTGTTTGTAGGCGCTCATGCATAGTTTCAAGGTCGCCGGGTCCTGCGCCACGGTGAAGAACTGGCAGAGGTACGCGTTGCCCAGGACTCCCCAGGAGACGCCATCCTTTATATCCTGCGCTACCGCCTCCTTGGCGAGGTCGACACTCTTCAGGATCATGTTGGCCGCCTCGCTGCGCTTTTTCCCACCGCTCTCTTGACGAAGGATGATCGACAGACACCGCAACGAGATACGGTTGCGCTCCTGACAGAACACGTTATGGAATACGATGTTTACATAAATATTAGCGGACTCAACAGACGTTGTCCTGTACACGCGACTTACATCCGACAACTTATGAATAAAAAAAACGATTTGTGAATCTAAACACTTCTCGAGTTGAGACGTGAGTGACATACACACGTACAGAACAATTAAATAAAAGATAAACATAGATTCTTTGGTTAATGTAACAGCGAAGTATTTGCCCGACATACTTATTATCCATTCGCATTGAGAATATAGTAAGTCAACAGTGCAGCTAGAATTAAAAGGTGGTTTCACATTTGAGTAGAAATTCAAACAATTGTTATTTCAAAATATAAAGTTTAATGGATAAAAAAAATTAACTCAATTATGTTAAATTAGAATACAGTCATTTCCTTTCTAGACCAGGGTCGATAATTTTTAAAACCAAAAAAAGTCGGAAAGTAGAGATTTCAACGAACAGAAAACATACCAACTTTTTGAAAAAAGCTCATATTTTGACGGGTGAATTTTCGATTGAAAATTAGGGTGCTTTTTCGATATTAATTCAAAATAAGGTGAAAAAATAAATATTTTTAATCGAATAAATTACAGCGTATTTGGGACATAAAAAGGTAAGTTTTCACCAAATTTCGTTAGAAAAAAAATTTTTTGTAAAAGATAAAAGTAAAAAACCAAAAACTTGATTTTTTGAATTTTTCACATAAATTTTGAGGTTATGTGAAAAAAGTGTAAATAAAAAAGTTTTAGATCTTTTTATTACCTACAACTTTGCGATTTGACTTTTTTCGATAGGACTTTTAGTTTTGCCGGAAATCGAGAAAAACCATTTTTTACCCTCAAAAACTCACCCCCATCCCCTTCCCGACCTCAGATCGCCCGTAAATTATTTTTCCTTTCATTTTTATAATATTCCCCTCCTTTTCTAATGGGTTGCATCCTACTATTATTTTTTTTTTTCACTTTTTATTATTTTTAAACCCTGGTCTATTCGTACTACAAAATTTTATATGTTATTAGTATTCACGAATCATAATGTTGGCGTATGACACGTCTATAATTAAAGTTCAAATGTCATTCATTGCTTACATATATATATGTTTTATTTTATATAAATATTTTTGATTATAAGTGCCCACTGCGACTAGATCACGTCCCTTAGGAACCCCTTATGTCTCTACGGGGGAATCCCGTAGGATTCTTAGGTCTCTATGGGGCCCCGAAAGTAAATTTAGCTCGCTGATTAAAGTAGAAACGCACACCTATTTCCCTCACTGTGCCGATTTTTGCGTAAGCTTTTTTTGTTGTGGAACCACGGAGCAGACTCTGTTGCACGAATGGGCAGGCTCGTCCGAGGAAGACCGGCTTGAAGTGACTATACGTGACTACACTCTCGCTTTTCGCCTGGTGAGAGTGGTAAGTTGGCAACGCATTTTTAAAACTCAGCTTTTGTCTACCTCCATGGTTGGCGGTGGTCATTTAGCATCAGGTGAATAAAAAAAAGAAAAATTTGATCGCACTCTCCACCTTTTGATTTGTTTAAAAGCGAAATTGTTAAATGTGTCTAACTAACAATAATCTATTATCGGGGGCGCACTTCCTTATAGGCCAAAGCCCGGGTCCAGAGCGGCAAAATTTAGGTGGCACCAAAACTTGATGGGATTTTTTTAGTAGGGGTCCCCTTTCGCCTCTCGCGCCTTCGCGTATACGATATTCCGTAAAAAATTATAATAAATCAATGTAACATCAGTTTGGGTAACTTTGAATTGTGCTATTACAATCTGATTTATATCTATTACACCTTTATTTTATTGAATGAATAGTGTCCTTTTGAGTTTGTTTATTTTGCCGACACAATAAATTTAAATCAACAGAACTATCCACAATTTCCCCCCTAAATCAAATTCAAAATTATCGTGAGTTTGGGGTAATATTGAATATAATTTTTTTAGGATGTAAAAGCCATCATTATTCGAATATTTTAAGGTTTGGGTAAAATTATATGACGTTTTCAAATAATTAAACCCTATCTCTAAAAACTACATCTAGATTAACGTTTAAATGTGATAGATAGCTTGGTCTTGCCATTTGAATCAAGGTGGACCAATTTGGTGGGAAATAGATTAGTTATTTTTTTATAATTTTTTTATTATATCCAGATAAAGTTGGAACATAAAGTGTGACGTAATAAATTATAAACTTATTTGGCTATCAAATGAGATCAAAATCGTAATCACTAGTAACTAAATGTGGGCGCTGAGATTATTGCACAACAGCTCATGCCACCTTGCCTCAAGATTGATGAATCTATCCATCCAGATTTGGACACAGCCATTCTTGAACCTGAAGGAGCTTGAAAAATCCAATCTGACCACAGTTTCTTTCATTTAAATATAAAAAAGGAGGCAAAACTTCACCACCAGCATTTACCAAAAGTAACACGATTTACTGTTGTTTTTTATAACGTCGGGATGTCGAGAGACCCTTCGAAAAGCAACATCTTTCCAGGATCGTCATGAAATCCCGACTCATCCATGTTGTACATATTTTCTGATGGGACTCCTTCTATTTCCATTTTAATATTACCAAAGAAATTCTCGACCATTTCTCGGCTGACTTAAGCCCTCTTTCGGGATATGCTATATATGGGATGTAGCTATTTTGGCTTTTAATTCGGGGTTTCTTTCTAAGAACAAGACACCACATTTGTAGCCTAGCAAGTTATAAAAATAATATGGGTAACTTTGAACCATTCAATGTTACCCATATTAGATTTTGAACATGGTCTAAACTTTATCAGTTGTACACAATATCTAACATCAAATACGGATAATGATTTGAAATTAATAATATTATATAAACTACTTTTTGAAGATAAAAACCAAAACATACCTGTTTACAAAAATTTTTGTATTTTTAATTACGATTCCAAATCAGAGCAACAAACACTTCCAACGACTGCACCAAGAAAAAGGCAGGAAACTTTCCAAATTATTGCATTGAAAGTTTATTTTTTTTTACTTTTCGTTATTTTAAAACATTTTCGCGATCGCTTTACACAATTAACATTTTGAAGCAAAAAAAGTTTTTGTGTAATAAATTAATAAATCTTACATTTAAACATTTTGATTAGGATAAATTTAATTAGAGTGCATAGACTTATTGTACCAAAATGTATGTTTTCAAAAAGTTTTTGTGTCATATGACTTGTTTTTATAACACGGAAGTTAATTATGTACCAATGACTAATGATTACAATAACAATAAATATTTTCATTTTACTGATTTTTTGTATACAACAAAACATCTTGTATATGATATTCAGGTTGGACAGTACCTATATATTCCATATTTGTCTAAATAATATAAAAAGTAGCCGCTAAGACTAATATTTTAAATTTTTTTTGCATGTCCACTATTTAGAAAAAAAATTAAAGTACCAGTTTCAATAATTATATCCCATAGCTGGGCAGAAGCTTCATCTGTACAGTTGGTATAGTCTACCAGTCAATTGGCAGAATTCACATAACTTTGAAATATTTTGTTCATATTATTGTTACTAAAATATGCAGGTTTCCTCAGTGTTTTCCTTGACCACTACCCATGTCATGAGTCATTGCCAAAAATTGCATTAAGAATTTTGTTGCCAATTACTGGTGCCGCCATCGGGATTTGAACTCTGGTTGCTCGAGTATATAGAACTGAAAGTGAGCGTCCGGACACTGAGCAATCACAGCTCAATTAACTAAAGTTTATTGTAAAACAGCAAAAAAACTTACATGCTTTAATGCACCTTCAAAGCTTGCCTTTGCCTCTTTCACATTCATATTTTTCCAATAGCACTCCCCTAATTCATTCCAGGCAGATCCAAGGTTTGGATTTAATTTCACTGCCTTGCTGAGACATTGTGATGCTCGTGAATCATAAGTGGTGCTTATGTTGTAGCATCTGCCTTTTAGATATAGGAACTGACCTCTTAATAAAAAGGGAACTTGCCGATCAACTAAAACAAAGCATTCCAATTGAATATTGTGTGTTTATTTAGTAGTAATCAACATCATTTACAAAAAACAATTTTCAAGTAACAAAAAGTACAGATATAAAAGGGATGTCATGATGCCAGAAACCAATTATAATTTTTACATATTCTTTATCATTACTAATTATATAGAATTATAAAGCCTATTTTTATTATACATTCAATATTGGCAAAGCAGATAAAAGACAATGCAGATCCCCATTCAATTCAATAGTAAAGTAAAGTATCAGCCTATACATGTGCCACTGCTGGGCAAAGGCCTCCTCTGTACAGAGGGTATCAGGGCATAGTCCACCATGCGGCCTCAATGTGGATTGGTGGACTTCACATATCTTCGAAATATTTTTTTATATTTCAAAAATATACAGTTTCCTGTTATCAATGTTTTCCTTCACCACTGACCATGTGATAATTCAGCACATGAAATTAACAATTTCATTGGTGCCGGCACCGGGGATCAAACTCAGGTTGCTCGAGTATATTTAATTAAAGGTGAGCACCCGGACACTGAGCTATCACGGCTCTCAATTCAATAGGCCCATTATTAAATATAATTTTACTAGTAATTTGAAATATAACATCAATGGACAAATAAGTCAACTTGTCTATGACATATAATCAGATGACATAAGTTCAAGATAATACTTGTTGTATGAACTTGAGCTTGAACTATATCACTTATGACACAATTTGCATTATTAATCTTTGCATGAGTAGTTTATTGCTGGCAAAATTTACCATGATGTAAATAAATTAATAATATGTTCAAATATATTCTACACTCAGGTTGGGTGATTTATAATCATAAATGTACATTTTGACAAAAAATTTAATCATATATTATACGCTGAATTATATGCTAATTTTTAAAGATCAATTTTACTAACCGTCAATTGCCTCAAATTTATCGACAAGCACATTCTTCTTCTCTTCTACTAATTTATTCTTTTCAGTAGCTAGTTCAAGAGGATGGTTTTCAAAAAAAAGATCTCTGAATGCATACAACTCTTGGAGCTCTTTCTACAAATAATAAATTCATTTAGCGTTAAAATATATGGTAAATGTAAAATATATATTCATAAAGTAAATTCTTTTAAATTAAGATATAAATAAGCAGTTATACAAAGATTTCCAAATAAATACTGATTTCATTTAAGTAAATAAACACGTACCGCCAGACCTTCCATGACTTCTTCTATATTCTCTAATAATTCTACTTTCTCCTCTGATTCAGCCATAGCTTTAAACGGTATAACAACAACGAGTTTGTATTTTACAAGTTACAAGGAAAAAGATTTTTCATACCAATGTATGTTTACAAAATTATGCCCGACCTGACCATAGATAAGGCATATATACAGAACGACACGGACCCGACCTAGTCAACTCAATTTTCGCCATAGAATAGTTTAGGGATGTTGAAAAAATTTCGATAATCGATATTTTCAGCCGATATATTTGAATCCGATATATCGATACAAAATATTCAATATGGAAATCGTATCAAAAACTGATATATTTTCCAATTCGAATGCGCCATAGAATCTGCAGGTGTCAAATAATTATTTGGTGCATTAGAAATTGTACAATCTTTATTGATCTAATATTTACAAGATTAAATCTATCTAAAATTACATATTATCTAATAAAACTAATCCACGCGGCATGGTGCCAAGAACGCTAGCTGTATTTCCTCGCTGAATAGTTATGCTTAACCTTTGAGCGAGAAAAGAACCAGCTCTCTTATCACCAACCACGGCGTTGATCCTAGGACATAAACTTTTAAAAAATTTTTTTAAAGTTTATGTCCTAGGCTAAAGTTTAGTTATACAAGTTTTATTTTTATTAAATAATTATTTAATACTTGAAATACTTTTTTTGGACAACTTGGCCTAAAGAAAAAAATATCGATATATATTTTTATATATATCGATATTTTCACTTCGATACATCGAGGCCGATATCATATTTTCATAAACGTCGATGTATATCTTCACTTTCGGCATCCCTAGCTTAATTCAATAAATCACAAAGAGCTATTTATATATGTAGATGCTTAATAGATTTGTAATGTCTATGGCACATACCGCTGAAGATTAAATATTCTAATCAGGAAATTACAAAGTAACTTAAGTAATGCCAACTTATGAATATACGGCGATCTTTGAGTATAATAGGCGATCCAACGAGAAATTGTTTTCTTTAATAACTTTTCATAAAGTGATAGTTTCAAGTGTTATGTATCTCGGTCAATTTGCAACTTTGGCCGGATTATTTGCTCTGAATACGTTCCAACGTCTATAAAGGCTTAAACCAAGATGCCAACCTCTAATATAAAGGTATGGTGAATCTTGGATTTTGTCAATTTCCTATTGTCGTCGTCGTGGGCCGTGGAGTTGCAGTAGAGTGTACTCTGTCTGTCACCACCTTCCTTTTTGTCTTCTTAGCCCGTGTGTTATCTATCCTTCAATCTTTCAAAGCCGCCGGGCTATCGGCATTAGTTTTTAAAACGCTTCACAAAAAATGTAATTCAACATTATACTATTTAAATTGTATCTTTTTTTTTATTATATCCACGCACTCCACCCTCCAATTTTATTTATCTGTATGGATTAAGACCCATGTTCTGAGGTGGAAGACTATTTAGATAACGATGACGTTATCTAAATATGAATTTACTTTACCCCTTAAAACTATAAATCCTATATACTATAAATATATCCTATATAACTATAAACTATAAATTCCTGTAGAAAGTGATGTCCGTTAGATTGTTATTAATATTGACCCCGGACAGAATATCAAGAAACAGTTAATACACTTAGTCCGGTTTCTGAATTGATGAGAATGATCTTCTTAATTATCAGAATGATCAATTCAAATATTTTAACCATATTTAGGCACCTCAAATGACTTTTGAAAATCCATTTGACAGTTGATTAGTTAACTTGCTACGAGATCATGAGACACTGTTTCAGTCACCGGGCGTTACTTGTGTAAATTTCTGAGAGGCTCGTAAATAATTGATATTATTCTAAAATCTATTTTTTGCTATCTTCATGGCCTAAAATTAAATGTAATTGATATTAATATTCAAAATTATACAAATTACATTTTACAGTAACTTTTAAAATTATTTATTCTCGTAAATTGGAAAAATATTTCGTATCGATTTCCACTCATGTGTCATCTGTTGCACTTGCACAAAATGACACTAGTCACTAGGACTAGACTAGACCGGGGCTGCCAATATAGGGGTTTTACCCCCAAATTTAGGGAGTAAAAACTTGGCTGAACTATAAAGGGCTTAGAGTAACGCAATCTATCCAATCATGTTTATTTGTTAACCAAGCAGCTAATGCTGGTTAGTGTTAGCTAGCTACGGTTTTTCATTACTAAGTACTTTGCGGAATTGAACTTTGGAGAGTAGAGATAAAAACTGTCCGTCAAAACGCATTTAATAGCGGCAACGTGGGATAAATTTTAAAGAAAGCGCCAAAACTAGTCAAATTTTTTTATCATTCGATATTAATCTCAATATTGGTTGACTAAAATCATAAAAGAGAAATCATTTTTTATAAAATTAAATTCCCCACAATTTATGAGTAAACACTCTTTATAAGACCAACATTTTAGCTGCAATATACTTCCATGCATGTGGAAATTGATACAAAAATCTTTGCACCATTTACTATTTACAATTTTACTAACTATCAATAATCTACTATAATACACTACTACACATACTATAATACAATTTTATCAATAATAATTTTTTTAATTTGGGTGGGTTTTAAGTTAGGGGTTTTTGACTTAAGCTTAATGGAAAAATATTTTTGAGAGTTGGTAACCCTGGACTAGACTCCTATCCTATCACTCAAACAGAAATGTATTTGCTAGAAATTCCGAAATTTTAAGTAGGTAGTTTAATATTTTACAGTTTCGATCGCTTTGCTTCACTCTACTGTACAAAATTTCAAAGTAAGTAAGTTCACGCCTTTGGTCACCTATAAAAATGAAATCGTGTCTGCTATTTGGCATACTAGCAAATTCGAAAACGCGGGTTCGTTGTGTTTTTTGCGGGGTGTATATACCAAAAGCGAACAAATGTATCGAACAACATGTCAATGGCTCGAAGCATAGGGAGAATATAGAGTTGATGACCGAAAATGGCATATCCTTTGACACCGACATTTTATACTGCAAGCCTTGCAAGGCTTTTTTGCCCGACCACGAATCTGTAACGAAACACATAGAAGGAGATAGTCACGCCAACTGGGTAGCTGCTATGGATGACTTGATCGACGGTGAATTCATTAGGCTGAACGCATATTTGTCTTCCGAGACTGAAAATGTATTTTGCGAAGTGTGCCAGTGCAATATTCATTGTACATTACAAAATATTGAGGAACACGTGAACGGACTTAGCCACCGCGGCAACATCGCAGAGAGGCTAAAACCGCTAAATGGGATATTCAAAGTCGAAAATGATGATGAATTATGGTGCAAAGTATGCGATGTTTACATTGACAACACTGTCCCAAATGTTCTGGAGCACATAGATGAGGATGACCACCATATGGAATGGTTTATGGAGATAGAAGATCTTATTGAAGAGCAAGATGTGTCCATAGTTAATTATTTAGCAAATGAGTTTGAGAAGTTTGCTTATTGCAATAAATGTAATGTTGAAATAATTTGCAATGCTCAAAGCATTGAACAACATGTAAATAGCGAGTCACATTTAAATCAGTTTAGTTAATCAGTAGGCCACTGCCATTTTCAATCTAACTTATTTCATGTGTATTAGGTATTTAAATAATTAATTGTTAATAATTGGAATATTTATTGAAACTTAGAGATCTGAAAATATAAATATGAAATCAGATTGAAGCGAATGTTTAAAATATAGATAGCTTTGTTGAATCTGTGTTACCTTTAGTTGTAAATTAATGACAACTTATTTCATAAAAAAATATTAGTTTGCTATAAATATTTAATACCAGTAGTAGATACCAGCAGTAGATAACATTCCAATAATTGTTAGATTGTCCCAATTTGTGTTCATTACATGTATATTTATATTCTTTAATGTCTTACCATGCCTAATTTCTCCTAGTTATGCAAAAACCTATATTTAGGCTAATGTACTATGTAATATGCATTATAGTATGAAAATATGTATGGTTTGCCTGTTAATTTGACAATTGCATCTGCTTTATATACAATTCTTGTGATAGATTTTAATTTTAACATCTCAATTTTATTGTTTCATGATCACTTACTGGTGTTAAAAATATTTTTTATTATTTACTCCTTATTGAAATGATTTTATAATGTGATATTTTTGTTGTATCTGTGCTTTGCAACAGCTTTCATGTACACAGCTAATATATGTGATAAGAATAATAATTATTTAGCACATTAAATTTTATCAGAATCAATGTAACACTTCTTGAATTTCTGTTTTCAAAATAAATGATACCAATAAATGAAATTGTTTTAATATTTTAAAGACTGAGGATGATGTTTAGATTCCTTGTTAATTATCTATTAAGTCAGAAGCAAGGTTATTGTTGCTAAATATGTAAGAACATTTTTCTCTGTAATGTATGACCCAAAACCCATTAGATATTTATTTATATATATAGGTAAAAGTTGTTTGAATTATACAGTAATTATTACTGCACATGTTAATAAAATAATGCATTATGATGATCAAAACACAGTTTGAAAATATTTAATGCCACATTTTAGAATGGTGGAACTTCGGAACTCCATTCATAAATCATATTCGCTTTCTTCTTTAATAGCTTCTAAAGTAAAGTTTGTTTGTCTGTCAGAGTTGTAAGATGCTGGATTTATGGGCGCAGTGTTTATGGAATTGTCTGTGGTTCTGTTTTCATGGACAGATCGAGCTTGCAACCTATCTTGATCTATCCTTACCACATACATTATGTCCTCCGCACAACATTCTATATGCTCCAAACCATTCCTGAGATGATTCTGTAATGATCTGCAAAGACGGATGTTCTTACACAAATGATGACATTTTTATTTGATTGCAGTTTACAATTTTATTCTATAACAAATGGTAAAATACTTTAAAAAATATTTTTTAAAGTATTTTACCATTTGTTTTTCCGTTTTTTTTTTTCATTTAAGTCTAATGCAGATCAGAGAAAATGGCTGGATGAGAATGTAGCACGTGAGCTGTAGTTCACTTTATAATAAACTATTACCGGCGCCAATAGACATCTTGAATTTTTTCAAGGAGGTGGTTTCACCTCGCTCATCGGACAAAAGGCAAAAGTATACTACTTCCACCTCGCGTTGATGTTCTGTGAGATCGTATTCCCCAGACAAGCCTGATCATTCATGATCACAGCAGAGGCTGTTACGTTTTCTCTATTGCGACTTACATGATATTCTCTCTGTTAATCCTCAAGTCGTTAGTGAATTTTCTCAATTTTCCTAATTCGGCACGGAGTTGGTAGCTCACTTGATCAACCGTTTGCTCCTTCAACGGACGTGACGACCTGCCAGCTAGTCTTCCTTCCACCACTTTCCTACGATCAATTGTGTCATGTATACTTCTTTCCGTTTGCTCGAGCTCGTTTTCTAAAGACTTGGAGTCACGTATAACCTGTTAGGATTGGGTTTTATCAATTTTTATATATAAGTGACGGCAGGATCTGCCTACTGGTCTTGCCACTGGGAGTGAAAAATGGGCACAAAGTAGTCCCATTGGCGATCGGACTAAGAAAAGTTACCTCATCGTAGGTTACGAGGCTCACAAAAATATAGGATATTGGATGGTCTTACCATAGGTGATACAGCCTGACTATACTACACCCATACAAATCACTTAACTAACAACACACGACAGATCGTCTTTTAATTATTAACGTGGGGTAAATACCAGCCTAGATAACAGGAAATACCAGGCTTATAGCTTTTACTATAAAACTCGTGCTTGCCGCCTCAGCATCCCATCATTTGGAAGCATCAGGCCTCTCTTCCAGGTAAGAGGCGTTTTACCTCTCCCTCGGCCTTTCCCATTGGCAATGCCCCGAATCCACCGCGGGGATGAGAGCCAGGAGAGCCAGTATTAACAACCTGTAAGTCTCCCGGCCCCAGCGGTGGACCTGGTCTGTGGCTCTACCGCTCACCACGTTTCGGCCGCGAGAGTTAGAAAGAACGGTGCATCAAAATACTGACACACCCCTCCGCGGCCCACCACTACCTTATCAACCGTGCAGCCCCGCCGAGTCGCGGAGGATAAGGAGTGACCGTCTGGCACGTAATTATAATAAGAATTAGGTAGCTACAGAAACAAAGGTAGCTTAAAAAAATCCCTCGCATATTTTAACCAAGGCTGATAGAGAAAAAGAAGAAAAAATCCAAGAAACGAAAAACTAAACGTTTCAGGAAGTAAGTTCTATTACAATATAAAGACTTGTATCAATATAGCCTTGAACACGTCTCACGGTTGATGCGATGTTACGATCGATATACTATAAATAAATCACCTCTTCTCTCTGCCAGTCAAGGTCTTGTAATTTTATTACATTGGAGTGCAGACGTCTCCTCAAGGCCGATTCAACTGTCGTCCCATACGCCTGGGCTGTAATTGAGAGCTGGACTCTCTCTGCTCTGACCTTATCAAATATGAGAGAGTCTATTATTAATATTTAAACTAGTTCTAACCTAGCTAAGAGATAATACCATATTACGTCTAGTGTGTTCTATATAAGATAGTTTTCAAATGGGGTCTGCAACAGCACCATACAGCAGATATAATGAAGTGCAGCAATTTTTGAATCCTTTTTAAGAATCATTCAGACTTCTATTGACTTTATTTTCACACAAATTACATTCGAGTTATACTTTAGCTATTCATTACAACATTAGTAATTTATAAGAATAACCTACATATGTCAGAGTTTGAGGTTGAACAGTTTAGCGAGTGGTTAGGACATATTACCTTCATAGGGACTTATAATAAAACCATTGGCATTGTTAATATAATAATTTTTAGACACTAGAATAATAAATATTTAGCTTTAGGGTGGTAGGGCCACGCAACAGTTCTTCGCTATTCCACGAATGGGCAGGTTCGTCCGGGTAAGTACACGAATTCATAGAAGACCAGCGTTAAGTGAAAGTGTCATACTTATGCGTTTCGTCTGGTGAGAGAGGTAGCCAGGGCCCAATGTATTATAAAGTGGCAACGCATCTGCATATGTCCATTGGCGGCGGTTATCACTTAACATCAGATGAACCGCCAGCCCGATTGCCACCTTTTCACATAAAAAAAAATTTTCACCCTTTTCAAAATGTTGTAATACCTTCTGACGTGTCATAATTGCACGTCTCAGAGCCGCAATTCCCGCCTCTTTTAAAGAGGAACATCGCTTCTCCCACCGAATAAGAGACAAGGATCTGTATTTGGAAAAATAATAACTTGATTCTTCTACTTTTCCCCAATTATGAAAATAAAGAAGTACGCGTAGGATAGGTGCTTTGATGGTTCTGTATAAATTTATTTATATACTATCGCTCATCTCAAGATTCTGTTTTATCAATTTAGTTTGTATTTTTTGACTACTTGATATTAACGAAATAACAAGCATCGAACTTTCCCCTTTGATTGTAGGCGCCAACATGCTACGTGCCGATTAGGTATATATAGACTGTCGGGAACTATGTAGGTAAGTTTTGAGTGTTTGTATATCAAAACAATGGCTGTATTTGGATTGCGTTGACTTAAAACTTAAACTTGCCATCATATTTTAAATACAACTTGCTGCGCACAAACAAATATTCTTTTTTACGAAAACCAATATAAGAAAATAACTGTTCATTACTTCTTTTTTCTTTTTTTGGTAGTCCCGTGCTTAGCGCATTCGTCATCATTATAACACGCTTCATCTATTGATATTGCCTGATATTTATTCAAGGCGTCGTTTTCTATTCTACTCTTCATTTTCTCAAGCCCCATCTTTTGTTTTTCAATTTGCGGGATCATATTTTCGAACCTCTGTTTTTCTTGTTGCAAAAACGATAACTCCTAATTAAAAAAAATATAATATATTTTTCAATTATTTTGTTGTGTTTTTACATTATCATCAAGAACCGTGATAGCTCAGTGTCCGGGCGCTCGCCTTTAATTCAATATACTCGAGCAACCTGAGTTCGATCCCCGGTGCCGGCACCAATGAAGTTTTTAACTTTTAAGTGCTGACTTATCACGTGCTCCGCGGTGAAGGAAAACATCGTGAGGAAACCTGCATATTTTCGAAATAATAACAAAAAAAATATATTTCGAAAATATGTGAAGTCCGCCAATCCGCAGTGGGGCCGCGTCGTGGACTATGCCCTGACACCCTCTGTATAGAGGAGGCCTTTGCCCAGCAGTGGGACAAGTATAGGCTGTTACTTTGCTTTACGTTATCATCTGCATAATTACCTGCGTTATCGCTTCTTCTACAGTATCCATCAAAGGACATAATGCACCAGATTTGGCATTGTTGCTAGTGCAATTATGAATTTCACTGCTTATTCGCTGCACTATTACATGAAGGGCTTTACTTTCATGCTTAAGAGCTTCGATGGATTCATTCAGGCGTTTTGCTAGATCGTTTAAAATCCACTGCCATGAAGCCACATCTGAAATTCTGTTATTTAAAATTTTAAGTAAAAATTAATATTAATTATAAAAAATTAAGCTTACGAGGATTTGTACTCAAATAAAGCCTGTACATGTCCCACTGGGCAAAGACCTCCACTGTACCGAAGGGCATAGTCCACCACACGACCCCACTGCGGGTTGATAGACTTCGAACGTTTTTTATAATTATTTCTAAAGTATGCAGGCCTCCCTAAGATGTATTACTTCACATTTGAACTCACTTTGTTTGACATGACTTAGCACTGATTTGACATGACTTAGCATTATTTTTGTTTTGGTTCTTTGTATGCTTTCGATAATATTTAATACTACGCATGTACGGATTCCATTGCAGTTTTGATGTTTTACTTTCGGCTTTTTAAATAAGTACGTTGATCATAGGAATGATCCTTATTTAAGAATAGAAAAACGGACACTATGGAATCCGACAACCTCTTATTAATTAAAATGCTCTTTCATCATGACAACCCTTCGGCGCTCTCCGCGAAACGAACAATTAAACATTTTACTGTGGCAAGTGTCGAGGTAATGAGTCTTCCGCCATTTAGTTCCGATCTGGTTGCTCTGTGACTTTCATTTATTCACAAAAATCAAATATAAAATTTGAGGCATTCGCTTTACGAGCCCTGAAGATGAGTTAAATGCGTTCGAAAATTCCGTAGAAGACATCCCTACGAGCAAAAATGTAAGCTTTCCACCCACCATATCTCCATTCCGCGAAATTTTGATCCCCTATCGTATGTAGTGAACGGAAGGTGATTTAAAGTCATTCGTACAGGTTACACGATTTTCTACTATAGATTTAAAAAAAAGAAACAAATATAGTCAATACCTCTCCTGCAAGCATTTTTTCAACAGGTACTCGTTTGATTCCTTCATAAAATTGTTAATCATCACCAGCTCTTGCGTGTCGTTTACCCGTTCAACTACTTTTGCGTTCAACTTGTCATTTAAATTTCTAAGTTTATTAAGAGGTCCAGTATCATTATATAACGCGTCTTGGAAAAACATTGTAAAACAATTATTAATTATAAAATAATGCTCCAAAAATTAAAACTTCACGAAATCGTAGGTAATTAATAAGTACACATTTTGACATTGAATGTCAGCACAATGTCAAATATATAACGCAGGTCGTATCCAATAGAGACAAAGATTATATTGTTCTTTTCTTTTTTAGACTTGGGACTTTCCTGGAGTAAGACGGATGCATATATCATAAAACCTTCTTAAATATCGGCTAGAAAGGCCACGACCCTCCGAGTTAATCCGCGAGTATTGCTGCGCGTGTGTGTGCGTTATCCTATAGGGAGGAATGTCACATACGGGGAACGGACCGAGATCCCGATGCCTGTTGACGGTATTAATCTTTGGTTTGAAGTGGGTTGAACTGACCTGTAATGCGGATGTCCAGGCTCGTAAGCGAGGATGAACTATTTGGTCTTGGATGCTAGCAATATTTGTGGGTGTAGTTTTGTCAGAAGGGCCCTCGGTGGGTTCGTCGAACTTAAGTTCCTTTGTTCGACTGCATCGATATGGACTTTGGAGACGTTTGTGAACGTTCGCGTTTATGTCGGCTTAGTAATTCGTTGAGTTTTTCATCAACGAGTTGGAATGGTTTTTGGCTCTTTCGATGAGCATTCTAAAGTGTTCTAAAGTGTAGGATACCACCTAGCACCCGTTGCGAGGCAGCTGAACTTATTTTGAATTACCAGAAGTTTTTAAGGATTGACGTAGTAAAAGGCGTAGGACATTATGGGTCGTAAGCGAGTCTCGTAACACAAAAGTTTATTAAGGATATTTTTTGGGTTTGAATAAAGCTGACAAAAATTATGTTGTCAGCCTTATTCATGCTATTGAGCTGCGATGAATCAACTGCTCAATAGCATCATCGCTCTAGCCATACAGTCAAATATCCCGGTATAGACTGTTCACGGTGGATTGGGTTTTGATGTAACATTCAAAAACATCTGAGAATAAAGCGACTGGGTAGGAAATATTTGTATATCAATGGTAGTACAAAGATTTTGGGGAAATGCATAAGAAAGAAAAACAATTTTTTTAAAACATTTATTACACTGAACGTAGCATATTTTGCAATAATAGCAATGAAATAAAGACGATATGTTTCATTTTTGTGAAAACAAATGAATACCATGTTAGTCGACGTTTCTGAAGATTTCCTTTAAAGCAACATGGACCGGTTTCAATATGACAAAGTAGACAAATTCAGCGACGCTTATAATGCTGAAGCCCAGGAACAAACTCAGCAATCCACCAATTGCACCTGTATTTAATTATTATACAATAATTCAATTATTTTTTCAAAGGAAATTTGTTTTTGTTAGTAAAAATTTTATTGTTAAACGGCGCTACCCAACGAAGACTGTCGTATCAAGCTCGTGGGTTCTGGCTAGCCCGCCTGTTATGCGTTTGATGAAGCTTTGATAGTCTACGGACGCGAAAATATCCGTTAAACTAAAAGTATAAGTAAAAAGTTAATATTATCTTATTTTTATGAATACTTACAGGCACTTAAGCGTTATATACAGGGTGGCTTTTCTAAGTGTATCCATTTTTTTATTAAATTCTTGACATAAATAATGTTATATAAAAAAATGATAAATATTCAAAATCCCTCGTAATTAATCAATTACATTCATTTGAACTTATCTCAAAAAGTGCGTGATTTATACGCAACTTATTTGTTTTACGCGCGATCATCCATAACTATCACGCACAAGTTCATGCACAGTAAAAATTAGGTATTTTTGAATGAATACCGCATTTCGTCAACACGTTCTGTTTTTTAGGGAATAGAATAGCATTTTTTTGAAAAAAAGAACTTTGTTTTTTATTTCAATAAACGATTACACTACCGAGTCTGAACCTCCTGTGTAAAGGGCACTTCTCAAAAAATCTCCCTGTATAAATAAATTTATGAAGACTCATTATAAGATAAGATTAATTATGTGCGTGTTTGATATAAAATGAAATCAATTCTTACCAGCGAAATAGTAGTCGTCATATTGCGTATGCCGATGCTGACCCAAGAATATGTCGTCATAAAAATGTACATTAATCCGTGTCACTTCGCCCCTGCAATTGTATTTAGTTACTAGCTGTGCCCGCGACTTCATCCGCTTGGAATTATATTCTGTATATTATATGTTAATAATAATAAATAAAATTCCTAAAATAAAAGTAGTCTGAGTTACTCCTTATTACATCATCTGATTCTATCTGCCAGTAAAAGTGTCATCAAAATCGGTCCAGCCGTTTTAGAGATTTGCCGGAACAAACAGACTGAGAGACTCGGTATATGTACCGTGTATACATCCATATACATTTAGTAAAAAGTGGTTATTTTAATACAAACAGAGACTCCAATTTTATTTATCTGAATAGATATTATACACTCTCTTAATTAAAATCTTCTCTTAAAATTATTCTCTTAATTAAACATGGATGTATGCAAGTTTAGTCCTTGCTCTTTATGCCGTGTAGTTAAATAGGCAAAAACTGAGAATTAAATAGACAAATAAACAGAAACTGAGTTAGAGCTGGTAGTAGAAATAATTTAACAGAATTATTAAGAATTTTGGTTGTAGAAATAATTTAACATGCCCTAACCAGCAGAGCTTGAAGTTTAGGGAAATTTTAAAAAATTAGATTGAATGAAAGCCCGCAACTGGTATCAAGAAGATAGAAAACGAGCGAGTGAACATGTTTTTATACACATAAAAATACTATCAACCGTACTTAGTTAGATACGTCATAGAAGAAGAGAAAGATTGTAAAACACAACAAACTATCAACCAAGATTCAAAAATAATAATGATATTCTATCAAGTTACAACACTTGAGCATAAATAGGCAGCAGATTCTATCACCTGCAATAATGTGTAGGAAGTATGCGAAAATCTTACTTCTTTGTGTCCCATTTCGGCTCCGGCCGACCTGGTATGCTGACCAAATCTGAGTAGAACACTTGGCTCGAGTACAAGATGTCGTTGCAGGCTGGGTGGCAAGATGCGGAGTAAGGCTGCGGTTTCCTCTCCTCCTGGCTGTCTTCGTAATACGCGTAAGTTAGCTGTTCCTCCACTTTTGCTGACAGATCGAAAATTATTATTTCACTTAGAGAAAAGCCAATGTTGATATATTTCTTCTGTTAAACGCACATGCGTGGCCCTACCCACAGCGGAGGGCCCAAACCCATGGGTTCTGGCTAGTCCACCGGTTCTGCGCCAGATGAAGCTTTAATAGTCTCGGGTCTGAAAGCAAAAACATCAATTAATACAAGATATATTTCTTCTGGCTCCAATAAAATGTGTATAAACTTCACACTCACTCTGATAGGCAATATTGCAGTTAGGATATTTAAAATTTAATTTTATGTTTATTCTTCTGGAATAGATATTTTACGATTCTTTTGGAATGGACGCCCCGAGAAGGGAGGCGTGGCGTCGGTAAATCACCTTCCCGACGGGTCGATGATATCATAACGACCGCAGGAAATACTTGGGCGAGATCTACTCAAGACAGATGTAAATGGCAGAAGAAGGTGGCCTTTGCCCAGCAGTGGGCTTATATGGGCTAACGATGATGATGATGATGGTTAGTATTTGTCAATGGCTCAAAGTAAAGCTATCTAAGATTTAACAAGCGTTTGTAACATAAGAGCACAAAAATATATTTGATACGACATCGCTTTAAACATCTTTGAATTTCTTAGCTTGTCTCTACTATTATGCAAGTATTCCACATATAAACCTTACCCTTGAATCACTCTATTTATTGCTGAAAACTGCATTAAAATCCGTTGCGTAGTTTAAGATCGAAGCGTATAAACTGCGGATATTTTAATTACTTAAAAACATGAACGTAGCAAAGTACCGTTGGCCATTAAGTAGCCATTGGCTTTTGGGGTTTACAAATTTCGGCTGAAATTTTTAACCAAATTTTTTGCTTATACTTTGCCATATATTTGCCACTACCGCTTGATAAAGATCATGACTTTAACTTAGTGAAAAGTATACATTACCTCTTACTTCCACCATGCAGCGGAAATCTGACTTGGTTGAACATATGGACTCCCAATTATAAATCCCTGAAAAATTTAAAAGTAATTTTTTTTTTGGTTTTAGTACTTATGACATTATTTTTCAGTGTTAAAGAAAAGATAGATTATTATTGTCAGATATTTTGATAGTTTTGTTCCGAAAAGAAAACTATTGATAAAAAAAAAGAACTTCGATATACATACGTAACAAAAATTTACTAGAAAATATGTATTGTTAATAATCGCTAAACCGATTATCGTACCTTTATATAAATATGTAATAAAAAGTTCAAATCTTAACAAAATAGATCTAATATTTTCCGAATGCATACTTGAAGAATAAAACAGAAGTCATTCACCATTCAGAACAATGTAAAAACGTACTCGGCCAATTGAAAAGGACACAGTTGCATTTCTCCTTCACTTCTCGTATCCACAGGTCGTGCTTGCAGTTGCTGTCGCTGTACATCTCGAAGTACTCCAGTTTCCTCTCGTCTTGGAAGTAGCACTGCCTCAAATACGGCGGCAGGGCCCTGAGCGCAGAGTCCGTTTTGTACGTGATGGGCGACACCTCGATGGTGGTCATCTTGTTCATCGGCAGACGAAGAACTGTGCTGGTGTATACGTGATCGGTCGGCGAACTGATGAGCACCTAAATGTGACCTTTATTTAGTACTAGAATACGTTGCGGCAATAGTTTTTGCCCTTTTTTGCTTTGTCCCGTGAATAAAGTATTTTTTTTATGTGATAAGGTGGCAAGCGAGCTGGCGGTTCACCTGATGTTAATTGATAACCGTTGCCCATGGACATTTGCAACACCAGTATGGTTGCAGACGCGTTGCCACCTTTTAATAAAGCGGGCCCCGGCTATCTTACTCACCACGAGAAACGCAGAAGTATAACACTTCCACTTCAAGCCGGTCCTCTGTGAGGTCGTGGTACTTACCCGGATGGACCTGCCCATGCGTGCCACAACCGAAGCTGTTGCGTGGCTCTACAACAGTTTAAAAGTCGACAAAGGTAAAGTCGGATTTAGAGTTTTAGACAAATGAAGAACGTATACCTTGAACCATCAAAAGGGAAACAATCCTGAAGTTAAGTAAGGGCGAATTAATATTGTGGAAAATAGGTAAGAGTCGATGGACGCAGAATATAAATAATCATGGCGGCTAATGTTTCATTGAATATTTTTTCATATTATATTGGGAATATTAAGTCCGATTTCATTCCACCATTTCCGAGTTATTATACGTTTGAATATTATCGGCTCTAATCTCTACTATTGCATGTACCTTTTACAGTACTTAACTTTTAAGTAATGCGTTTTAATAGAGTTAAACAAAATTTATTATAAATTATAGAATAAAATAATATAAAGATACCATTGAATACCATAGATATAAAATATCGCAAATAAAAATCAAATCATATGAAATCTGAAAATGCTCTGTTATGACTTGGGCTATGTTTAATTGAACTATTAATATCTTATTCTTTAAACGAGCAATTCTTAATTCGCATAATCGGAATCTCGGAAACGGCTCCAGCGATTTTCATGAAATTTAGTATGTGCGTAGATTCGGGGGCGAAAAATCCTTTTATCCCTGTTTTTCATGGAATGAAAAATATCATTCGAATATGATAGTAAATTTCGCCGCAAAAAAAATTTTATAATAGCTCGGTCGCTAATGAGGCGGCCCCAAAACAGACGGCTGCGGTTCGTATCACGATCATTTACACACTTATTTTTTTCACTTTTTTCAATAAAAAAAATTAAAAAATAAAGAAAATGATCTGGCATTTTCTTTATTTTTTAATTTTTTTTATTTCCAAAATACATGATTTACCAAAAAAAAATCTCCTCCAGGTACTATTATTAACTCAAAACGTTTATATACGTTCATGTATCGCTAGACTAGTCATGCTGTATTCGGGAGGCCGTCTTAAACTCACAGTAAAACCCATGTTATTTCCGTCGCATCCGAATTGGTGCTCGCTTGCGTTGAGATACAATTCGACGCCCAAGCCGTGCACTTCGCCAGATGCGACCACCCGCAAAGGCATCATGCTGGGGTCCGGGGGGAAGACCTGCGGGTATCCGCCGTCCATGCTCCAATTCAAAGGCTCCTGTTTCGCGTTCTGGTTGAAGGTCCTCTGCCAGTTCAAAGTGGCGTTGCTCCTGTGACAAGACGACAGTAAGAGAACAATGTAATGCGTGAGTAATTTATTTAATACAAGTAATTACTCGGCTGCGACGAATCCAGAAAAGGAGGGCTATTGTAACTGTAGCTAAATCCGTCCCTACTTTACAGTTAACGGATGAACCGATTTTGATTTATATGTCATTAGTTTTGAGCGTAAATGGGTATATTAAAAATATGACAAAAATGTAAATGGCGGACTATTTCGCATAAAAATGAATATTCGAAGTTTTTTTGTTTTCTACTTTTTATCTTTTAATCTATAAATTATTTTCAAGTGTGCATTTGTTAATTGAGTTTCGCTCCCTTTATGTAGGGCGCTGCTGTCAGCTTGTTAACAGTAAGTTTTAAATATTTTATTACGCGTTACTGATGATTTTTTTGATAATGTTTTCTCCACACCTGTGGCATCTATATGTTATATTTAAAAATCACTGTAAGTTTGGCGTCGTCTGTAAGTGGTTGTAGGTAGCAGTTGTAGTTGGCACTTTATACAGCTGAAATATTACATACATTCCGTTCAACGGTAGACTGTTAAATGCATAACATAGCCCGAAGTCCGTGAAGATTGGCTTGAACATCTCACAACATTCCTTGGTGAACCACTCCGATTCATGTGTTGGTTTCCAGTAGCACGATTTGACCAGTTCCGTGCATTTTGGCGACCCCTGGCATAATGAGAAAGGGTATTACGTAAAAATAACAAAGAAAGAAAGAATTTCTCTTACTACTTTCATCTTGGATTTTACCTTTATGATGAAGTCCTGCATCATTTTATTCTCCTCCGGGTTTAAACGATTCACCAAAGCTCTCTTTTCGTGCGACATGTGAGGACAAACTAGAGACGCGAAGAAACGTTCCAATCTAAAATAAACAGAACTACGGAAGCACAGACTCTATTTAAAATTTGTAAAATAGTGTAGTAAGTAACAGCCTATAACCCACTGCTGGGCAAAGGCCTCCTCTGTATAGAGGGTATTAGACCATAGTCCACCACGCGGCCTCACTTCGCATTAGCGGATTTGATATATCTTCAAAATATATTTTTTTATAATTTCTAAGATTCTGGTTTCGTCATGATGTTTTCTTTCACCGCTGAGGACTTGATAAGACAGCAGTTAAAATTAACAATTTGATTTCATTGGTGCCGGCACCGGGGACCGAACTCAGGTTGCTCGAGTAATTAAAGGCGCCCGGACACTGAGCAATCACGGCTATGTATATATAAAGTGGACGAAAAGTTTATACAAGTAAATAAAAGCTACTGTTTCATTTTCTGTAACTGGGTACTGGTAAATATGTCTTTGCTACGATTTTTAGTGTTGGATAAATAATGAACTTATTGCCGTAAAGGCGACGGGCAAAAAATAATAATAAGTTGAATTTAATTTTTTAAATAATTAAATTTTAGGGCGGTCGTTGTTAATACTTCTTTAATATACAATTTATCAAGCGTGCAGGCTCACAAGACTAAGGTATACCTGATGCTAAGTGATTATGTCCGCCCATGTATGGAGTATTAAAATTAAGTTCCAACCAATGTCAAACCAACTAGTTTTTATTTAAAAACATTGCCCTTAAGATTTTTTAGATTAAGATTATCCTGTGTTGTAAGAACGTTTAAAATATATAAGTTTCACGTGGACAAACATACGGATTCAAAAGAATTATCTGTAGGTCACACAAATTGTTGTCTCGTGTGAGAATCGAACCCACGACCCTCGATGCCGAATCCAATACCTTGACAACTGGGCCACAGAGTCGTCTAAAGTGGTGATGACAGTGACTTAATGAAGAAATCACTTACTCATTAAGCTCGGAGATATTGGCATATGATAATTGCACGTGCAGATGTGGGCACACTACTACCATTGGAAACGGAACCGCCCATATGGGAGTGGGCAAAGAGTCGATCACGTTGACAAAAGGCGTCGAGTGCCATTTGCAGAACAGCTGGATGATGTTCACCGCGCAAATCAGTATGCTCATCACGACAATGATAACCCATATGAATCTCTCCTTATGGCTGAACGTCGGCTCGAAAATGTACCTGGAATTTCCAGATGTCAATGGTTCACTTTTGAGTAATGCTATGCAATCCTGTTCAGATGTATATGGTCCACTTTTACGTAACGCTATCCATTACGGAGGGAATATTGACGTGATTAAAACATGGTAATCTTATCCTTTAAACGAGCAATTCTTGTATATATATATAATTGGAATCTCGGAAACGGCTCCAGCGATTTTCATGAAATTTAGTATGTGCGTAGATTCTGGGGTGAAAAATCGATCTGACTAGGTTTCATTTTTAGAAAATGTCCTATTATCCCTGTTTTCAGGGAATGAAAAATATAATTCGAATAGGACGGTAAATTTCGCCGCAAGAGAAAATGTTAAAATAGCACGGTCGGTAATCTGGCGGCCCCAAAACAGACGGCCGTGGTTCGCGTCACGATCATTTACACATTTATTTTTTTACTTTTTTTTCGATTCCAGATCATTGCTTTGTTTATTTTAAATTTTTTGTCGATTTGTTATTTTTTTTTTTTAATTTAAATTGTTTATAGTGCTAATCTTTGCACTTAAGATTGAACATTAAAATATGTAGAAAAACATCACAGCGGCGACAATCTTTTCGCACTTTTTCTACATATTTTAAGATTTGTTATTTTGTTATTTATTCCCTTTTTTTTAAAGTTCTTTCTTTTGTGAAAAACATCAGTTCATATTTTCTTATTATTACGTCGGTAAGATCGAAAAATATTATGCATATTTAATTACTCAGTAATTTGTATCTAAATGTAATTTCCAAAATACACGATTTACCAAAAAAAAAAACAAACCGAGCTAAGCTCGGCCCTCCGGGTACTGTTATTTAAAGTACAAGTAAGTTTTAACAGGATTAATGACACAGATTATTTTCGTACAGAACATAAAGGCAACATCTGCTTTCTTCTTGATTACTTTAATTAGCAATTAGAAGAATTTTAGACAATTTCGCAATTAGAATTTGTTTTTTTATATGAGTTTCGAATAACTGCTAACCGAAAGTTAAGAGATTGCCTAAGAAGGTTTTACAACCTCTTTTGCAAAACATTTAAAGATCAATGACTATACGTATTAAATTTAAGCATAAGGACATTGAGAAAAAGTATATCTCTATTTATATTCCATCAATTTAGGTACTAATTTCATTTAGAATAAATTCCCAACATTAATTTATTATATTAAACGAACTAATCAACTCAATCTGTCTATTAAACAGGTCGAATGCTAGACTTACTTAACTCCGTGTAACGATCCCTCATACAGGAATTGTTTCAAGCCCTTCATCACCTGCGTAAACCACAGACGCGCGAACAATTTGCAAGTTGCCAATTTGCCCCCGTCCAACAAATCGAACGCACGGCCGTTCCTTTTGACCGACTTTTCGGACTGTTGCAAAACCTCAGGACTCAGATATTTGTAGTCCTTCAAATAGTAATTACCCACGTATTCGAAACTTGGCAGCGATTCGAGGTCGCTGTGGTTCGACATATTCACCGTACACGTGTTATTATCAGGCGAAATTCGCGCCATTTAAGCGGTCACATTAAAAGCGGTTAAAATTGCAGAGGCAGCAGTCTGCTTTAAAGTGACAAAGCGATAACTATGCTTGACGTTTACGCTTACAATTCCGATAATTGTTTGATGCAATCAACTGTATTGGTAGAAGCTGTTTGTCCGCCTTTTTGTCTTACAGTGTTTTTTAAGGAAACTGAGGTGATCTTGTCTGTAGGTCACGCGGAGTAACCCGTAGTAAAAACTGTCGTGACTTGTTTATAAGAGTGTACATGAATGAATGAATGAATGTAATGCTTTATTGTACATCAGACAAAAATTATAAAAGTAACAAAAATTACATAAAGGTACAATTGGCGGCCTTATTGCTTAGAAAGGATTAGTTCCAGGCAACCACGTTTTATTTATTGCGTTAATTAAAAAAAAACTTTTACCTATCCGAAGATTTCACATAAGTAAAATGTTTCCGGCAGCACTATTCACTTCCAACGGTTTATGGGCTTTATATCTTGTCCGCGCAAAGAAGTGCTTAGCTCAGTGAATCACGCAACACGTGTTATTTTGCATGTTACCTGTCGTCATACTAATGTGATGTCTGTATGGCTTACTTTAGCAGTTCAATTTAACCTGTATTACTAACAAACTTTGATGCGTTTGACGTCAGGACCATCAGCTCCGAAATAGTTTGTAAAATAAGATCTCAGCTGGTAAGACTCGTCAGTTATAATATTTTTTAATGTTAAACGATTCTTAATACTCGTATCATAATCATAAACTCCTGGTACAGAACGTGTTGAACCTTTCTCAAAGATTTGAAGGAAATCGTTTCTTATACTCTTTTATTTTAGCTTTACTGTATGTGACTCGAGCATCACCGCAGGACGGTATTAGTGCTAGTGGTTAACTTAACGACCGCGGCCCGTCGAATGCACTTTAGCGTATTACTGTTATTTAACGATTAACCACGTTCAAATTATGTTATTGTAAAGCTACAGAGTAATTATCAAGCAATTTTCTTTTTTTACTGAATTTTACTGAATTAACTTGAATAAAATTCGATTAAGAAATGAATAATAAATATATAATAGGTTAGTAGAATGCTTTAAATAATTTAAATTTTTGTGTATTATAATAATTTTTATTGCCTCAGTAATAACAAATAAGAGATAAGTTATAAGTATTTTGATGCTTATTTATTTATTGCATTCGGCATAATTATTTAAACGGATTTCTATTACTGCTATTGTAGTTGACGAAAATGCATTTATTTATGTAGAAACACAGTGGCATATTTCTTTGAAATAACCAAAAAAGCAAGACACACAGAGGACTAGATTATAAGTGCACGCTCAATCAAAACTTGCTTGAGAATGTTGTTCACACTGGTAAATTGATTATGTCCGTTGCGTTTAATTGAAGCTATACTTCTTTTGGCGCGTTTGGAAATAGGAAATGCCCTGTGACCATAAACGAAACGAAACGGGTTATTAAAAAACGGAGAATTAAAAATTTTAATTAAAACTCGATAAAATATGTAAAACAGTTTCATGTAATAACCAATAACAAATTTTTGACATTTACCTATATTGGAGACATATTGGATATATTGGAAATATAGTTATTTGATTTAACCGTTATCAATCGCATTTTATATCTTCTTCACAAATAAAGAGTACTGGCACAGGGGATCAAATTTTTTGTTATTTTTCTATTGTTACACTTTGAAGTACAACTTATAACGTGCGTAACATAAGTACTACAAATTTTTTTATTTTTTTAAAACGTTGCCTTTAGAAAAAAGTTCACATGAACTAAGCCCAGATCTGGAAACCAAATTCGACTCTTAGATTAGTACAACCCTAACAACAGTCGTAAAAAATTCCAATATCAATGGCAAGCCGTAGGCGATATTTCCTTTGTTTGAGAGCTTTTTGATCAACTTTTTGTTTTGGGGTTTGTTGTGTATCGAAATTTCGGACAGAACAATCTCAAAGTGAAGTTTTGATGGGAATATTTTTCAACACTCGACGTGTACCAAAATAGTTTTGTAATGACTTGACGAATTCGAATTATTTTTATATATAAATAAGGGATCCAGAATCTGTGTACTTCGTGTACAACAATTATTAAGTCCCGTAACAAAAATTATTTAAAATTTATCGTCTTGAGCTTTTTAAATAATATAACTTAATTGTTGTATGTATAACGGTCTCCATAGGTATACATACGATACAGAGAGTTCGTGCGACTTACATTTGAATGAGCTTACTTGGTTAAGTTGTGTACAATAGCAGAAGCGTAAAACACCAAAGTGAGAGTATAAATATATAAAAAATGGGAAAAGACGTAGGTACATACTCGTATCCACGTAATGTATGTGCTAATGGAACTAGGGTTTGAACATACTACCTTTCGTCACTAGTTGACGGTCTTATGGTATATCGGTACGAGGTAAAACATTGCTAAAGTATCAAGATATTGAAGCATAGTACATCCTGAAGCCATAAAACAGAAAGGATCAGTTAATAGGGTTAAAGGATGCTATGCACACCTTTGTGCATAGCTTTTTTCATTTAAAGTAAAAGCCACAGGGTAAAAATTTAAATTAACATATATTACTTTAATTATGACATCTAAAATGTTTTATTGATTACATCCATTAGTCACATTCAAAGCGCCTCAAAATCGTTTATTCCGAACTTTTGATTTGACCGGTGACATCATTGTTGTTATCTAGTCGATTAAGATAGGATATGGTAGTTAGAATCTCATGTACAATAAACTATGCTTGCCTTTTAACGTATTATCTGTGCCTTATAATTCATGTTTCTTTATATTGTTGTCACAAATAGTGAATCAAACGCGGCACGTCTTGGGTCAGGGGTTGTTGATAAACCGTTCGTCTCATATCGCGTATATGTATAATAATTTATATCTTAGCTGTCTGTGAATTTTAATCTTATATATTCATAAATTCGTAAATAATACATATTAAGTACCTATAGAGTCTGTGAATTTTAAGCTTGAATTTATCGTATGTATAGAACCGTAAACTATACAGATGTATTTCTATCTATCTACATTTTGAAATTAATGGAGAGATAATACTAAAACATACAATTAAAATTACACACTGTTGATCGCATTGTTGTCGAAACATTTTCCCGTCAAAATAAACTACGAGTGAGTCTATTATTATATCAATTTTAACATGATTGATCCACATAGAATGGATTAAGTGCTTTCGTGATTGGTAGAGCAAAGCGAATAGCTACGTTATATACACTGTGTAATTCTATTAGGCTAAAAGCTAGGTAAGCTGTTGCAACTTTTGCTACTTTTAATATTTAAATAAAGATATTTAAATAAGATTCCTTGTTTTATATCATTGAAGCCATTGAGATTTTAGCACCCCTGTCATTAGACAGACATTTATGTTTTATTGAAAAACTAATAGATCGTAACTATGATCCGCCGCAAGATGGTTACATACAAAATTATAATTGCGTTACGTCTAGCTGTCTTTATGAGTATATTGACAATACAGATAGAGCTTAAACATTTTTTTGTCGAAATTATTATACACAATGTGGGTTTGATATTACGTGCGGTTTTTTGATACTGCACTGTTCCCTCCGCTTACAATGACAGCCTTAAAATGATTAGTAAACAAAACGAATTCTATTAGTTACTTGCAGAAAGTTTTATGTCATAATTATATTTTTTTTAAACTTTAAGACCATAAATTCTATTAAAATGTAGCCGATGTAACAGATATCGAAGAAAGGAGGATTATTCTCGTTTGTGATAAGCCTCATATGAACGGTTCAAAATCTAGAAACGACAAACATCAAATGATGATGATGATGATTATATAAGGCTCTGTGAGCACCAGAACCAAGTATTTAAAAGTACTCTGTGGTGAGCACTATTTATCATTTAAAGTTTAATAAATCATTTTGTGGGCAAATTATTATTAATATGTTTCATGAATTAATCGAGACATGTTTATGCGTACGTCGCAAGGAGAACCACACAACATATTGATGGTTAAGATGTATAGAGTAATGTATCAAGGCCTCGCGGTCATCGTATATAATTAAGCTACTCATCTTATGCTGTCGTTGTTATCGCATTACTCCAGTTAACTCAGTTTAGTTACAACTGGTGACAATACCACAGGCGCACGCGTGGAGTTAAAAACACTACATATTAAGTTGTTTTTCTTATAAATTAGCGGTAAATATATGAAAATATTTGTAATTTCTTTTAAATTTTCTGTTAAAATGAATAAAATTTTATTCTATCGTCGATTCCGTTATTGAAGTCAGTTTTGAATTAGTTTGTATTTTTTGAAATCAACCATAAGTAAAGTACGTATTGATAGCCTATTGGCTATATTAACAATGGCTTTGACTTTGATATTCGGGAGCTATTGTTGTAGTAACAAGCATAGATTATATGTAGTACAATCTATGGTTACTACAAACATATATTGAATAATGTGCCTGTTCATAGAAATATTTTTTGTGAATGTATCACTTTTTCAAGAGGCATTTCTTCTCTCTCCTCTCTCTTGTAAATTGTCTTGGATTTGTATACCGTTGAAAAGCTTCTGACCATTTAATAATAAATAAAATATTATTATTTAATTAAATATGATTTTTTTATGCGAAAAATGTTAAGCGAGCAGATGGTTCATCTGATGTTAAGTGAATACCACCCATAGACATCTGCGTTGACAACCTTTTGAAAATCCAGCTCCAGCCACCTCACTCACCAGACGAAACGCGAAAATATTGTACTTTCACTTTACGCCGGTCTTATGTGAGTTTGTGGTACTTATCCGGACGAGCCTGCCCATTCGTGCAACAGCCGAGGCTGCCGCGTGGCCCTACCACCGATAAATAACCTAATAGGAATTGTTTAAAGGAATTTGATACATCTTAAATAGTCTGATGTGTTATTACTTGATAGCAAATCAAACACTCTGTAGATGTGTTTTATCCAATTTAATAAAACCATAGAATAAGGTAATTACTGTTTAAAAGCTAAACTGATAGCGAAAATTATTATTTGACGACTAATCTTATCCTTTAATATAATCGGAATTTATATATAATCGGAATCTCGGAAACGGCTCCAATATATATATAAAGGAAATTATACAATATTGCTCGTTTAAAGGATCGGTCGTCAAATAATAATTTTCGGTTTAGCTTTTGAATATGACGGTAAATTTCGCCGCAAGAAAAAATGTCATAATAGCTCGGTCGGTAATCGGGCGGCCCCAAAACAGACGGCCGTGGTTCCCGTCACGATCATTTACACATTTATTTTTTTACTTTTTTTCGGTTCCAGATCATTGCTTTCTTTATTTTTAATTTTTTGTCGATTTGTTATTTTGTTATTTTTTTCCCTTTTTTTTAAAGTCCTTTCTTTTGTGAAAAACATCAGTTCATATTTTCTTATTATTACGTCGGTAAGATCGAAACATATTATGCATATTTCATTACTTAGTAATTTGTATCTAAATGTAATGATTTACCAAAAAAAAACCTCCGGGTACTTGTTCTTATATAAAGAAACATCATTGCAGGAAAATATGGCGTCTAAGAATAAATTTGGATGGTACATTCTATTGACGCTGTCTTTTATAGGCGAAGGTATGTTCACTCTGGCCTTTTTACTTATCATTGTAACTTTACACTGCTCACCTTATTTGTCAGCAGCTAATACCTATTTCATCACGTTTCGTTAGCGTACGATGCTGCTAATAATTAAGCTGCACGGATTGAATCATCTCATGAATAAGCCCACAGAAGTTCGTAAATAATAAGTGAAATAGTCATATTGGGATTCGAGGCTTCGACCTACCCTTTGCCCAGCGATTGGATATTTAAATATAGGTGCGGCCAAGTACTTACCACGTTGGAGCAGAAAACTCAACATGAATCAAGGTTTAGCATCCCCGCTGCTGTCGCAAATGTCCTGGGCAAGGTTAATCATTTACTATTAGATAAGCCAATACTTGTTCGTTGCCTCCTCTTGCAAATAACGTAAAGGGCGCGTAAAACTTAAATGAGCATGAAGTTCGTATTCACTCGCAACTACTTCACGTTTATTATACACTGTTATTTATATTTATACACTGTTGGTTAGGATTTATAACATTCTACTGATTTTTGGACGATACATCAAAAGAAATACCATTAAAGTCAATTCATTCAGTCGCAAGCTTCACTCGGATCTCATGTAGGGTTTTGTATTTCCAGCGTGGTGTATCCAGTGCTACTATTGCAACAGTGAGAATAACACGGCCTGTCTGGACGTGAACCGGTACAGTGAGGACATAAGATCGCAGATTGTGCCGGTCGTCAACTGTGAATCCGCCATCCCGAGCCCCGGGGGATATCGATTCTTCTGCAGGAAGATAGCTCAAACCAGTCGGTGACAGTTGATAAACCATGTTGTATTCAAATCTGTGTGTGTGTGTGTGTGTGTATTAGCAAAACCGATAACGGACGCATCGGTTTCTATGAAAATTTACAAATTGAACATTTGAATTTGTCAATTGAAAAATGAAAGCTTCGTGCCAAAAATAACTACGCGAAGCCGATAAAAGTTATTGCATTTTTGCGTTTGTTGTATGTCCGTTTTCATAATACCTGCTATTCTCTCATATTTGATATATATAGAGATAGGGGATGATAGATCAGTTGCCTCTGTTATTAAGGCAGGTATAAAGTTTCAGCTCCAGTTGTTGTACCGTACGAGATAACTACTTGTATGAACAAACAATTATTTTGGATCTTTTCTGGAGTATTGTTTATAAAAAAAATGTCCACCATTTCCAAACATTAAGGTTTATCCTGAAATACGAACAATTATTTTAATTCTGCAGTTCTAAAGTGTGTTGTAAACATTATAATATATCATTATTTTCACAAGATAAATATTTGGCTAACCGGATAAGCGTGTCACTAGTGAAATTTAAATTCAGACCACCAATTTAGTAACTCTATGTGAAGACAATGGTGCACTACTTTATGATCGATTCTAGTGGCGCATCTCTTTCCGTTTTAAAAATACTGACATGCCAGCTGATGTCAATTGGACAGAGACTAATAATTTCATAATCTGAAACTAAAGCAAAGGTTACAACAGCCGATTTTAGGTGCCCTATTTAACGGTAATGTACTTATAAAGAATTTGACATTAAATAGTTAAATGTTCTTAACCTGAAACTGAAGCTAAAGCTATGGTTACAACATTCGCTTTTAGGTACCCTACTTAACGTTAATGCATTTATAAATAATAGGACATTCCATAGTTAAATGTTCTTAACCTGAAACTGAAAGTAAAGCTAAGGATAAAACAGCCGCTTTTAGGTACCCTAATTAACGTTAATGCATTTATAAAGAATTGGACATTCCATAGTTAAATGTTCTTAACCTGAAACAGAAACTAAAGCTATGGTTACAACAGCCGCTTTTAGGTACCCTACTTAACGTTAATGCATTTATAAAGAATTGGACATTCCATAGTTAAATGTTCTTAACCTGAAACAGAAACTAAAGCTATGGTTACAACAGCCGCTTTTAGGTACCCTACTTAACGTTAATGCACTTATAACGAATTTGACATTTCATACTTAACATTTGCAGACTAAAAGTGACACGCATTTATTATTTCAGTATTCCACTCTCACCGCGAGTCCGAGGTGCGGGTAACGCGCGGCTGTGGCTGGATTCAGCACGACAGGCCGTGCTACCGCGACGACAACACCGACCACCTGGGAATCTCCTGCCAGTGTTTCGAGGACTACTGCAACTCTTCGGACCGCGTGGACCCCTCGACGATGGCGGGCCTGTTCTTCCTTTTCGCCGGCGTCTTGTACTTCTGGCGTTGATTAAACACTCGATTAATATAGACGTTTACTTTTTTCATTTTGATCGACGCATTGGGCTGTGGTGCATAATTTACAAATTAAGTTACAGAATTTAATTGGGTCTTGTTTTGTTTGATGGTACGTTTTTATGGTAATTTGTGTTCTGAAACAGCTGGTTAATTAATTTACATTGTGTTGAGTTTAAATTTTGACGTTGCCATGTTTCATAACCAGTTAATTCTGAGTAAAGTGCCCCGACGCTTTCCGCGAAGGTTTTTAAACAATTTATGTATGATTCATAACAAAACAAGCACGTTCACAGAAAAAATAATTTGTAGAGAAGAGGTTGTTTTAAGAGAGGAAATTATTTGGCGTCCAAAAGCGATACAAATATATAATTATGTAAAGTTCAATCATTTCTCGTTTTTACGTAAATAAAAATGTATTGTAAGAGTATTTCAAGTGGTGTATATAGAACTTGCATTTAACGATATTTTGTACTAGCTGTTAACCGCAGCTTCACCCGCGCCCACAAAGGCAATTAACGTGAGTTTTTTACTTAGTGGACTTATAGGTAAGTCATTACCTATATGTTGGACAATTCACACATATTTTTATAAATTATAGCCTATGTGTTGTTCTGATGTATAAGCTATATTATTGTAAAGTTTCATTAATACCTATTCAATAGTTTTTGCACGAAAGAGTAACAAACATCCATCCATTCATTCAAACTTTCGCGTTTATAATATTAGTAAGTATTTTCAATCAAGTTCCACCCTACTGTAGACCATTGCTTATAACGCGAAAAAAGCTAAATCCAGTCTACGTGTTATTACCGAGGTACAAAAGCCCAAAATCAACACGAGACGCGTTCATAAAAGTTCAAACGTGAAAAATAATCTTGTATCTTTTCCACATTTAAATTCGAACGAGGGGAAAATTAATAAATGTTTATTCATCGAAGCGTCGCTTGAAGAAGGGATGGAAAAAACCGGTCAAGTGCGAGTCGGACAGGCGCACGAACTGTTCCATACCATTATCTAAAAGAAATCGGCAAAAAAATCAAGTCTAAAGGCATGGGAGCTCCACTAAAACATTTTTTTATTCCACTTTTTAATGTTTGTTGCCGTGTTATTATAGCGGCAACATAAATACATAATTTGTGACAGACGGGCAGACACAGCGGAGCCTTAGTAATAGGGTCCCGTTTTACCCTTTGGGTACGGAACCCTAAAAACGTCATCAATAAACGCCGATGGAAATAGAACACGTCTATGTTAATCCGGAGGTCGCGAGGGACAACAACGGTGAAGGATTGGATCGGAATCGCGCGCCGGGTGCGAAGCTCCAGCGGTGTCCACTGCACACGGCCCGATGTTTGCTCTCTTCTTATTTAATAAAACTCGTGTGGGGCCACACCAACAGCGGGTTTCTCGAATATTTTTAAAGTCAGTGCGCGGGAGAGTTCCCAATCAGTAAAAGCATAGTACATATAAAATATAATTATCTATATAAGATAGATAACAGCGGCATTTTATATAGAAGACTACGGTGATAGGGCCACGCAACAGTGTTCGCTGTTACACGAATGGTCAGGCCCGTCCGGGTTGCTAATATCCTCGCGACATTGCACTCCTGGCGCGAGGCTGCAAAATCCCAGGGTCACATGCCGGCCCTGGAGGAGCTGGCGGAGTGCAGGGATCGCATGCGTTCAAACGCCATCGATGAGTGGGAGTAGAGGCTGGAGCACCCCAGTGCTGGCCTAAGAACCGTAGAGGCCATATGTCCTATCCTCAGGAGGTGGCTGGATAGGCGACACGGCACCCTTACCTACCGTGCGACTCAGGTCCTCTCAGGACATGGTTGTTTCCTGAGGTACCTGTTTCGGGTGGCGAGGAGGGAGCCCACAGCGGAATGCCATCACTGTGACTTATGTGCCGAGGAGACGGCCCAACACGCGCTGAAGGAGTGCTCAGCCTGGACTGAGCAGCGCCGAGAGCTCTGCGCTATCGTGGGCCACGACTTTCGCTTCCAGCCGTGGTTCGCGCTATGGTTGACAGCGAGACAGCGTGGGGTGCTGTCCTCGCTTACTGCGAGGACGTTATCACCCGGAAGGAGGCCGTGGAGAGAGAAAGGGAGGCAACTGCCACCCTGAGACCCTGAGCGGCAGACATGGAGGTGTCTCCACTCCACTTCCACATACCCCTGCCACTTCTCCCATCCAGTGGCAGGGGATCCATAAGGATTTTTCCCACAGAAAAAAAATCTGTCCGGGTTAGTACCACGACCTCACAGAAGACCGGCGTAAAGTAGAAGTGTTGCAATTCTGCGTTTCATCTGGTGAGTGAGGTAGCCAGGACCCACATTATTAAGTGGTGGCAACGCGTCTGCAACTCTAAGGGTGTTGCAAATGTCAATGGGCAGGCGGCTATCACTTAACATCAGGTGAACCGCTAGCTCGTTTGCCTCTTTCTCACATAAAAAAAACGTTGCCATGCAACAGTCTTCGTTGCTGTACGAATGGACAGGTCCGTCCGGGTAAGTATCACGACCTCACAAAAGGCCGACGTGAAGTGAATGTGTTATACTTCTTAAAAAAAAATTATCCTGTACACGTCTTTAATCCAAAAATAACTTATACATTAAAAATTAGATGAAAAAAAAAAACATTTTTGTAGTGGAACTATGAATCTAAATCTCGAAACAATTTGAACACACAAAAATTTTCATAAAAACCGGTCAAACCATTTCAATTCGAAATTGCCTGAGTTCGAATCCCAGTCGCCACCAATGAAATCGTAAATTGCTGACTTATTACGCGTCCGCCGGAAAAGGAAAACTTAATGGAAACCTGCATATTTTCTAAATAATGATAATAGAAAAATGCATCGGAGATGTGCAAAGGTCCGCGGTGGGGTCGCGTAGTAGACTATGCCTAAATATCGCCAATTCAGGATAGCCCTTGGCCAGTAGTTGCACAGATATAAGCCTTTACATTACTTTACATCGCACACAAGAAAGGCTGTCTATTATAATAAGATTTGAAGTGAGTTTTGTAAGGTTGTGGTGAGCTGAATGTCCTAGGTTTGATGGTATGGAACTACAAATCTTGACTGCCGGAACACTGGCAATTCCGCTAGAGGAAAGCGTTGAAAAATTAAATAAGAACGGGCCACAGTAACAGTCTTTGGGAGTGTGTGAAATCAACATGTGTTAGGTAATCTAAACCATTCCATTTCCATCATATTTCACTTATTTCATTCCCGCAAATTTATGGTCCATTCTATAGCACACTGTTAGTAAATGTTCGTATTTGTGGAATATTTTAATACAAACATAGAAGTTTTTCAGGTTAATTTTATTAATAAATTCTCCATTATAACACCCACAGAAGGCTTACGCCTCGACCTAGCCAATGAAGCATTGATGACATTTGCAGTTAATTTTCTTTTCACTTAAATGTATTTTTAACCGTAGTTCAATAACACAGCTGCAGAAATATAAAAAATGTTCTTTGTGGGATTATAATCAATTTTCGTAATGTATTTTAAGTTATTCACCAAGTTTGCGTCTCACAGAGGTATACTAAACTTTCATTTATTTATTCCAAATTCATCTATCCTCTGAATTTAGATAGATTTAAAAAGTTTAAAATTAATTTTTTTTTATCCTAAATTCAAAAAAAAAATTATCTAAAATTCAGGATTTGAAATTAAATATTTGTAGAATACAGAGAGCGCTCCCTTATACTTATATTAAACAATAATTGTAGACATTTCATTCAGAATTTTCATTGTAGTAGTGCAACTTCCATAATAACTTCAGCTGCAAGGATAGTTCACCTCGACCGGGGAAGTAAAATTCTTGCGGAGAGGAGTGAAGTAAAATTGTTTATATTTTTATAGTCTCCGATAACCCCACTTATCACACTCTCAACGTTGGGCAATACGCATATATGATTTATGCTGTGAGTGTTAAAGAGCATCGTATTCTTTTTCTAATACCTGAATAAAAAAACCTTTTGATACGTTTTATACAAACTTATAAAATGTTATAGTACTTTGTCATTTAACTTCACGAAATATTATCTGATAACGTATTACATGTGCCTAATGTGGGAACAAATTACTCAAAAAATAGTGTGATGTATCGAATAACTCATTATGCAACAAAGATTATAAGGAACTGGATATTGTTTCATCGTCCTAAAACATCTCATTAAACAGAATATTAATGAACTACGCGCGCATACACTCATAACAATCACACGCACACATAACTAACACCACTTGCTTTGGGAAACAAGTTAGTTTAATTCTGAATTAATTTTTTTTTTTAACTTCAATTAGAAATAAATATATGTATGTACATATTTATTTCTAATTTTATCTTATTTCATTCCATTTAATTAAAATTACCTTTATTTGTTTTATTACATTTTTTTTTATTTCACCTCAAATATTCGTTACAAAAGCACTAATGTAAACTTAGTGAATTACTTATTTCTACTTAATTGGCTCACAACTACTATAAAATGATTAGCAAAACTAATTTCATTCGTATTGGATCTTGGGTTCCGGAGATACGTAGGGAACTCCTGAAAATCAAGTATGAAATGAATACAAATAAAAAATACCTCGCGTTTTTGAGGTCGGTTTTGTTTTTCGTTAACAAAAAAAATTGTTTAAGTACTTGCGTGGCAGTTTATGGCAGTTATAGAATACTCGTACAAAGATTTAAATAAATAAATGATTTCGTGACAGCTTTATCTAGGAAAACAATATGAAAAACATAAGATATTGTTAATATTCCCTTCAATAATTGTTGTTTGTAAGCGTTGTTACTGAACAATGGTCACGTAGGGAGGTCAGCACTGAAAACTGTGTCCATAAAATGACGCGAAACCTACGTTTGTGGTCAAAGTGATGGCTGGATGCGAAAGCTCTAGTTGCGGTATTTGGCCATGTCCGTCCGTGATGCCTGTCCATACACTGTGTAACACTGTGCAAACTGCCGGCACGTGTATTTTAAATTGATTTTTATTAACTACGCACTTATTAACTGAACTTCGTTTGTCGTGCGTCATTTTCATCTATAATGAATGATTCGCACTCCTTTGTTGGTTTTCATTAAAAATATTCTTTTATGAAGTAATAATAGCTTTTTATATGGTTTTATATTATAATATCATATTTACTTATTTATTTTTTCGTCTTCATCATCATCATCATTTCAGCCTATTTGAGTCCACTGCTGAACATCCCACATACAGCCACTAAGCACGATCCTAAGTCACCGGTATCCATCGACTTCCCGCACATTTGCACAGGTCGTCACTCCATCTAGTGGGGGGTAGGACGACCACTGCGATGGCCAGTAATAGGCTGCCACTCGAGAACCTTTCTTCCCCAACGACTATCGGTTCTACGAGCTATATGGCCGGCCCATCGCCACTTCAGCTTGCTAATCGTCTGAGCTATGTCGGTTACCTTGGTTCTTCGTCTTATTGAGTTTATAAATAAAAATAACATATAGATATATTGTATATAATAAAGAATATATATAATTTTATTTAATTATTTTGAATATTTTATTACTTTCGATTCGTTGCATATAATGTATCTATTCGAATATAAATTCAAACGTAACCGAGTCATCATATAATAAAAATAATAATATTAATATTGAAGTTAGTTGTTTCATTGAGGGTTTTTGTTAGAGAACTCTATTTCTTTTGAACTTAACTTATGAAGAAGTTAATTTATCAACATTCACTTATAGAGAATATCGGTTTTAGTTTCCGTTAGCAGAAACCGTACTATAGCAAACAGTGCTCCTTAATTAAAATTTAAATAAAAATAAAAAGGTAACTTTTTCATTAGGGTAGGCAGTGTTCGCCTGCAATAAGCTAATGTACCATTTCACTTCATCATGTTCACGCACTCATGCTGTAAGTACACAGTAAACGTTTATAGTTGTTTTATCTTTAGAAGTCTATTAAAGAGGTGTATTTTCGATTTTATAAATTTGATTTGGTTATTAAATAATTAACACGAATTTACATCTTGATTATAATCAAATTATAAAATATTGAGCAGAGTGATATTGGGAAAACTTTTGTGAATATGCAAAAAGTTAAAAATTATTAGGGCGAGCGAAAAATGAGTTAAAAATCTCCATCGGTAAGAATTTGAATTGTAAGAAGTTAGTGGATCTTGAGACGATGATAGGACAGCTTGCCTTTATATCATCCCTGTAATCGCGAAGACATGAATACCCCAGAAGTTTGAAAACAATTTTTAATCAAGTCCCTGAGATGGGATGGCCTAGGTATTGTGGCCTATGTTTGTATAATATAATATTATTTTTAAAAATTTTGCATTCGAACAGTTATAATGTCACAACACTACTTCCTAGTGTAATGACATTGTTTATTCAGAAAGAATCAGAAAATTTGGACATTCTATATATTAAAGAACAGAACTTCTCGTCAAATGTCGTAGTCATTTGGAATAAGCATTGAGGTAAACTCTAGCAAGGAGGAGGACATACGACTATTAGGATGGACGGATTGTGGAGAGCTTACAATGTTATAACAGTTATGAATATGACTAATAGTTATGAAATCATAGCTCTTACTTAGATGTGTTTTAGGACGAGGAAAATCTATGGGTTGTTTTAGAGTATGATACCTGGGAAATGGTTTGATAAACCTGGGATTTATAAATTGCGGGACAGTAGAAATGGCTATGTCAACATAGAAACAACTGGAAAGGGGAAACATGTGAGTAGCCTCTGAGTGGCTGAACTTTTCCTGGGACAATCTAATATGATAGAATTTTATACAATTGATTAGTTTCCAGAAACAACAAAATCATCCCCAGTATCTCAACAACAAATCTTCCGGAGTCCATTTAGTTGGAATGCTTTAAACTACTAGGTTCCACGCTACCCGCATAAGAATATTTAATACCTGTATAGATTCTTGTGCGGGTAGCGTATGCTAGAATAACTAATTCTATTCGAGTAGCGTGGAACCTTGGGATACCTACAATTGAATTATTTAAACTTAAAATGTTACTGGAAACGAAATTGCTAGCGTCTCCATAACGTTTAAATTGATTTAAGTGATTCCGTCTGCAATAACCGAGATTTTTGTAAAGGCTTGGCGAATTTAGGTACTCGAATAGACTGTTTAGAAGATATATCTAGGACAAATCTTATGAAATCATCTTGGTAACATAACAAACTTCGATACTATAGAATGAAAGTATCATAACTTCCTTTTTCTAACACTTTGTATGATAGGATAAGGATAGTGGGATTGTTTATTTTTTCTCAACAATTTAACGTAAAATGCAATATTTTTACACCAGAAATGTTAGAACAACCGGGATGATACAACTTTTAAGACCTATATTGTACCATGTTCTAACAAACAAACGTTTCTTTCTTTCTTTCTTTCTTAAACATCCTCGGCCGGGCGTCAGTGCTGTTGTTACGGATTCAGAGTTGGGAGAGGAAATATGGGGGATTTTAGTTCTCCATTGAAATAATAGGGAGGCGACCGCCTCTTTCATCCAGAGGTTTATCTTCGTCCATTTCCCTCACTTATACCATAGATACTTCACCTTTATAGAAAGGATCACCTGTCAAACACAAAACAGACTAATTCATATTTATTCATTTTCTATTTTTTCATTATTTATTTATGTATTCAAAGCTAAAAAACACAGAATTCATTTGATAAACCACTTAACAGACTATTTGAATTAATATTTCAAGAACCTATTTGAATTAATATTTAATTTAATTATAAATATTTGACTTTCAGTTGGAGAACTACATAAAATAGCAAAAACATTTTGATGACTAGGTAAATAAAATAACAATGTAATAAAAGATCGATTTGGAATAGAAGTTATCGTTATTCAGAGCAATGACTACAAAATGTGTCTTTATGTTCCATGTATACGTGACCAAATCATATTCTTAATTGGCCAGGTCCATAGATCCTCGTAGACTATTTATAAAAATATAAAATACGAATATAACAATATATAATCTTAAAAACTTCTGTAACCGTCTCTTGTTTATTTTTAATCTTGCAATACTTCACTAATAGACTTAAGTAACATTTAGTAATTGTAAAATTTTACATAAGAAATTTAAAATAGTTTGAGTACATTTGAAATTACACTTTTTCTTCAATAAAGTTAAAGAGAATCGCAACAGATTTTCTTGCAGTGTTACATAAAATAAAACGCATAATACATATAAATGTCAAGGTTGCATAACATTTTTATTTTAATAAACTCGTGCACAACGAACAATTATGAGTATATATCAATGAAAAGTCATTTCGCCAAAATTATTTCCTGGATCGTTAGTAAAAGGTATTCAATCCACGCAGCCTTCGAAATAATTCTGGCAAAATGTTATTTAAATGTCTAATTTATAATTATTTAAATTAGGCATTATTAGACAAAATGGCGTCTAAGTTCCATAACTTTTAACTTAACAAAATTGACAACCTGTTGTAGTTATAAAGTATTATATTTATAATAATCGGGCAAGTATAACTACATTATAGTTACTGAAAACTCTTACGGAGATCGATAATTATGACTTAAATATGTTAACAAAATTTTGTACAGAGTATCAACATTGTTTGCTTTTTGACTAAGCATTTATAGACCGAACTAAATTGTTTTAATTTTATATAAAGCCTTAGTAATACGCCTTAGTCAGTTGTAAAGTAATTTTTGGAGTATCAGTATTGCAGCGACAGTGTGTTCCATGTGGGAAAATTAGGCTAGCTTCGTCTGCCTCTTCTCTCTGTCAACATGCTCGGTTTCAATTTCTTCGGGGGCGCCTCGGCCATTTTCTTCAAACCGGCCATTGTCATCTGATAAAGCAAAAAAAAAAAAAGAATTTATTGTTCAAGTCTTACTTATTTAATAAAAATGAATACTTCTGGCATTGAAACTCTTCCTTGAACCTAAAGCGAAGTAAGCTAGCACTAGTTATACACGTCCCACTGCTAGAGATGGATTTCGTATAAAAAAAAACAAAATATTATATATCTGAATAATAAAGCACCACAACCGGCTACATGTTGGATTTAAATTTGTCTTAAATAAATACAATTTTAATAAGAACTAAGAATATAATATGTCATCAATTAATTATAAGGCGGCAAACAGAGTAGACAATTTACAATTAAACATTATTTTTAACTGCAAAAAGGGTTACTGTTAACCGTTGTGAAACAAAAATTAAACATTAATATTTGCTTTTTATTGAAAAATATACTAATTCGCATGATTGATGTACAAAGTCAATTTTTTGTCAGTCAAAATGGTTCAAAATTTTCTTCATGTGCCTGAGAGATGACTCCGTGGCGCAGTTGCTAAGGTATTGGATCCGCGTCGGGGGTAGTGGGTTCGATTCTCAATCGGGACAACTATTTGTGTGACCCACAGATAGTTGTTTCGCATCTAGGTGTTTGTCCGCGTGAAATTTATGTTTGTAAAACGTCCTTACAACACAGGGTATATAAGGATGGTGCTGTTAATTGCCGTTCATTCGTTCACCAATCCTTACCGTTGTAACTGAAGGACCTGCCCACGCGGGGTCCAAACCACATTCCGTTGCTCTCGCTCTCTCTCTTCACGTATTCGTGGCTTCGCGGCTGCCCCAAGAGGATCTCCGCCAAGCGAAGATTCAGCCCGTTCAGATCGGGTCGGCCGCCGTATTCGGAGCGACCGACGCGCGGGAACACGTACAATTGGCGCTTGGAGGCAAAGTCCACGTCTGGCGAACGGAAAATAATAGAGCCCTCGTAATTGATTTACGCCCCGATGGGCTCGTCACTCCATCTAGCGGTGGTCGTCATACACTGATCGCAGTGTAGATGGAGTGACGGTCTGTGCAAATGTTGGGGAAGTCGATGGATGGACCATATTTCTGTCGGACAACTAAAATAACAGAAGCACTTATACTAGAGGACTCAAATGTTGCTGCTGTTGACAGCTTAACCGCTGCAGCCGCATTTGTTTAAATTTCATTCCGTGAGGAGTCTAGAAAACATGTTTTTGTAAAAATAATTAAATATTTCAAACTTTCTAATTAAACCTTGCCTAATCCCAAGCTGATAAGAGGTAAAGTGCTCTTGAAACACTGAAAAACTATTTTCTACTTGTAAATAAATACAAATTATAAATATGTAAATACCCAGACACCAGAAAAATATGTTCACAATACAATTTCTTCCACGCAGTAGGGATCAAACACTTGGAAAAGAAATATTAAGTTTTCTCTATTACATATTTTCTATTTAAAAAATAAAAAAAATATTGACAAATTATCAAAATAGTATACGTACCCAAAGAGTCGTCGTTGATCGGCACCTGCCAGGTGTCGTGTGCACGGCCAACCCTCGGGAAGGGATATAGGTTCAAGACGCCGTCGCGACGTAGTTTCGCACTGCCTGCTGTAACGGAATATTTTCGAAGTGTATCTTAGACTAGCAATAAAGTTAAAATGTTTTGTTTCAGGTTGAAGTTTTAAAAATAACTCAACCTGAAACAAATAGTAGTATTCTTGAATGTGATATTACAAAAAAACCGGGCAAATGCGAGTCGGACTCGCGCACGAAGGCTTCGGTACCATTATCTATGAAAGCGGGAAAAAATCATGTCTGTTATACGAGAGACTCACTGAAAATGTTTTCTTAGTCCTTTTTTTGTATTTGTTGTTATAGCGGCAACAGAAGTACATCGTCTGTGAAAATTTCAACTGTCTACCTATCACGGTTCATGAGATACAGCCTCGTAACAGCTGGTCGGACAGACAAACAGACCGAGGAGTCTTAGTAATAGACTTAGGAACCCTAAAATGAGTTATTGATGTTTGAATACATTAATAATATCCCAGAAACGTCAACAAACGTTACAAGTAAGCTTATAATTTCGGCCATAACTTCCATATACAGACGAGGATTACTATAAATAGCTGTTCCAATTTAGGATGATTCGCGATCCCTTCCACGAATAAAAATTACTATCCGTGCGAGGGGGGGCTCTTTCTAAAAATTAATAACGAAAAACAAAACAGACTTCAATTATCTCGCTCTGTTTTCATTTTATAATTGATTTTAGGATTTCCCTAAGTATCTCCGGAGCCCAAGATCCAATACCAATGAATAATTATAATTAATATGGGACCACATGGGGAGTACCAGCTATCAAATGACAAAAGAATCATCAAAATCGGTTCAATAAGTTGAAAGTTCTAACTAACAAACATAAAACAAAATACAGTCGAATTGGAAAACTCCCGCTTTTTCGAAGTCGGTTGGCAACACAAACATACTCCATGCCGTTCGCGTGTATCTGAACGACGATCAGTTGAAGCAAATCCCACAAACCACACGATAAATGAGACGGAAAACGTTCGAGCCTATAAATAAAAGTAATCCCCCATTAGTATCAATCAGAGGTTTCCTGTAACAGAATACGTTTAAAGGAAAATAAGCTGCTGTGAGGGTAAAATATGTGTTAAGTTATTGATGGCCTTGTCGTTGAGATGTAGTCGCTATGAGGTCGAAATCGAATACCGGATATATCAATTTGATATTTCTCGGTATATTACGGATAAGGTATCAAAATTTCGTTGGTTAACATTAGTAAACTCTGTTTATCCTAAAAGGTCTAGTCTAGTGCTGGTTTATACTGGTTCTTAATTATCAATAAAACTATTATTTGATTATAAAAATATAGTAATAATAGAGAGTATTCACAGTTATGATAATGAAACTTGAATGAAAATTAAAACTGACGTTTTAATAAAATCACAGCTTTTATTTGGTAATGAACGAGGAGAAAGTAACGCACTAACACTGCCCTATAAAATGTATCACGTTGCTTTCTCGTAGCATCGTAGCAATGCCGTAGCAGTGTAGAGTTAACTATAGTATAATTCAATTTAAAATGGATTAAAAGATGACGTCTTTATATTATTCTAAAGTAATGTAAAAACGTCCAAATTCCAAAAGCGAGTCTTTTATGTCATGGATTCTTTAAAAAAAACACGTACTTTGGTACGTGTTTTTTTTGTTTTAGAAACTATTGCAATCAAAACACGTACTTTGGTACGTGTTTTTTTTTATTGTTCAGTTAAAAATATTTAACTTATATATACGTTTGATAATATCTCCTTATATAGATTATGATTTTTTGATATTATAAACAATCTGAAAAATCGTTATTATACGTATTGCAAGATAGCTCAAAGACTAACACAAGAGACTAGTACAAAGGTAATAAACAGCTTCGTGTGTGACCTCCGAATAAAGACCAAGTTATAGGTTGTTTCGAGAACGTGTATTCATAATAATAATTTCAACTAATTGAAACACTACGAGAGATTGTCAATTAATTGACTCGATCAAATAACGGCCCGCGGTTTTAGAAACTATTGCAATCAATAAACTTCTCGGTGTAGGTGTTAACTGTCCATTGACCACAAATAGTTTACATTCAACTCTAACTTTTGCCTCGTACAAGTTACGAATACACCCTACGTATTCGTGTAACAGCAAACAAAACCTCAAGGATTTATTTAGTTTTACATTATAAAGGATTATAACTAATTTTTTCTTTAATATTTTGTACTCTTTCACATTCCTCATGTGTTGTTCAAAAATCGCCAATAAATAGATGTAAAGCATCTGTTTATTGGCGATTTTCCAGGTAATTTGTATCCACGTAACGGTCTCAGCTGTAATTGTTATACTTCTGCATTTCATCGGCTTTGTAATGTAGCCACGGCTTACGATATTAAAAGATGGATCTGCAACCCTACTGCTGTTGCAAATGTCAATAAGGGGCGGTTATAACAGGTGAACCGCCAACCCGCTTGTGCACTGAGTGAGTATTCCAGATTATAGTAAACTTTAAACTTTAGTATTTTATAATAGGTGTGTTATTCTTAGCAGTTTCTTTTAATGTGAAAAATTGCCAAACGAGCAGACGGTTCACCTGATGTTAAGTGAATACCGCCGCCCATGGACATCTGCTACACTCGAGGGTTCCAGATGAGTTGACCTAAGTTGTACCAGACGAAACGCGAAAATATTATATATTTCCACCTTACGCCGATCTTCTGTGAGGTCATAGTACTTACCCGGACGAGCCTGCCCATTCGTGCAACTGCCGAGGCTGCTGCGTGGCCCTACCACCGTAAAATTTACTGCGAACATAACGGAAGCTTACACACCAAAGTGGAATGACCGCAACAGTATGTTACGCGATTTTTTGCGTACCATATCCTTTACATTGGCTTTTTAAGGAAAACAAACGAAATTGAGTTATGAAAGCATCAGCAGCGATTTTGGCTATGCTTGAGTTAAAAAGAATATAGAGAATATAGAATATAAAAATTTCATTAATAATCCCATCTTTTTTTATGAGAATAGGTGGCAAGAGAGCAGGATCTATCACGAACTAATGTCGTTTTCTTCCTTCAAAAACATAGACAAAAAAATGGGAACGAACTGATATTTCTCTACTCAGAGGAATAGTAAAGAGAAATAATTAAACGCTTGCTTTGCCGTCATTTTGGTAGACACGTGTAACGTTTGAGTTTGCGGGTACAAAGGCCATGTTATTTACTCTTCAAAAGTCCTTTTACCTCCCTTGTTATCACAAAATCTGAATAAGGAAATAGATAAGAGCTACATATTTTTAAATACTCGTTCGCTTGGTCTTACAGTCAAAATTCCTGAGAAAAATATGTTTTATTCTTGTATTTTTAACAGCCTATATGTATATGTCTCATAGCTGGGTAGAGCTCTGTACGGAAGATATTAGGACGTAGTCTATCTACAACGCGACTCTACTGTAGATTAACAGACTTCATACATCTTCGAAATATTTTTTCTGTTATTTTTTCGAAAATATGCAGGATTCCTTTGGATGTTTTTCCTTCACTGTATGTATTTGATTCGTAGAAGAGTTTATGAAACTACTAGCTGCTGCCCGCGACTACGTCTGCGTAGAATAGGCTGAAGGCTTTCGCGTTTATAATATCAGTAAGGAAGTAAGGATTATATTTTGTAATTTCAAGTAGACTGAAACTGACAGCTGACAATACTTACTGGATGCCGTAGCCACCGCAGAAATCAACACGCACATTGAAAAGGCAATTTTTCCTGCCGACTGCATTTTGTCAAATTCTGAAAGAAAAAACGGATTTGAGCATTCTTAACAGTTTAAAAAAACCGCCCTAGTGCGAATCGGACTTGCGCACGAAGGGTTCCGTACCATTATCTATAAAAACGCATAATCTAAAAAAATAAATCGTCTCTGTTGAATGGGAACCCCACTTAAATATTTTTAATATTTCAATTGTCTACTACCACGGTTCATGAGATACAGCCTGGTGACAGACGGAAAGACAGATAGACAGACAGCAGAGTTTTACCCTTTTGGCATGAAACCGTAAAAAGGTTAAAAAGTAAATTATTCCGACAGTTTGTATCTTACGTATATATTTGGTAGCGACAAATTAATAGTGTACTAAAAAAATGTGTCATAATTAATGGAAATTTTCATTTTATGTGAGTTGGCGGTTAACTTGTTGTTAAGTGATAACCGCAACCCGTTGACATGTGCAACTCCCGTTGCGACGAAACGCAGAAGTATATCACTTCTATTTCACGCCGTTCTTCTATGAGGTTGTGGTATTTCCCCGAACGGACCTTGCTCATTCGTGCATCAGCGGACATTCCAATGCAGGAATGAGAATTAGGTATAAAAAGAAGATACATTAAATAGGGAACAATTACAAACATTACTTCAATTAATTTCAAGACATTAATTTTTTTTACATCCGATATACACCTTTAATCTAATACGCTATCTTTGTATTGTTGCAATAATTATTAACTATTGCACTATTAGTAAGTAATTACAATAACTAACATAATATGAATTTTTCTCTATGAGTTAAGTTATAAAATAATAATAATATTTCTAACGGATACTATCTTAATTATGTCAAGTACCAGCAACCAGACAGTGACACTCTTTTCGTCGGTGGCCATTCAAGAATAACGAAAAAATTGTACTGGAAATTAATTAAAGAATTTAGAACTAGACATAAAATATTTAAGGTAACAATGCGTATCACGAGTAACTCTACTCTATCAGACATATTATTTAATTAACAAAAATGATCAATCTTAACGTAATTATTACAAACATCGCAGATTGTAAAACATAATTCACTGGATTTTATACAACATTATATTATAATTTACTTTGTTGTATGAACGATTGTGACATTAGTTGTAATTTAACTTAAATGATTCTTGTTTCTAACTTTCGAATAACTCCCAACTGATATTTCAAATATGTGTAAGTTACACAGTGAATTCGTTAACTTTATGTTAAAATTTGTTTTGTTGCATAAACTGAATTTTATGCGATGTTATCGCAATATTAGGACTTGGAAGTGGTATAGAGATATATTAGTAAGTATGTATATGGAATCTCAACCAAAGTAAAGTGAAATTGTTATCTGGTACATGGAATTCAGTGAATTTTGTATTATTTAACAACTAACTACGCCGTTAAATGAGTTTCGTTCAATACTGTAATTATTATGACAAAAGTAAAAAAATAAAATAAAAAAGGTATAGTGGTACTTAATAAATAAAAGTATTTAAAAATTTAATAAGAAGTAGTATATTAGTAAATAGTATAAGAGTAAGAAAAAGTAACTAAACGGTTGGATGTAGACACAAATCAAATCATTTCAAAAGAATACTGAATATAAAATATAAATATAAAAGATAAAAGATGACTTGCGCTAGTTATGGCTGCTGTGACAGACTTCACAGACAAATAGTTATTTCACTTTGAAATTAAAATGAAACATTAATAATTCTCTGGCGCTTGAATTTCTTTTTTGAGCCGTGATAGCTTATTGTCGCGGCGGTCACCTTTAATTCAATATACTCTAGCAACCTGAGTTTGATCCCCGGTGCCGGCACCAATGAAATCGTTAATTTAATGCTGACTTATCACGTGCTCCGTAGTGAAGGAAAACATCGTGAAAAATATTTCGAAGACATGTGAAGTCCACAAATCCGCAGTGGGGCCGCGTGGTGGACAATGCCCTGATACGCTCTGTATAGGCCTACCTATTTCTTAATTGTTTAATGTAACTTACGCTTGGAGGCATACTAACTCCATTCAGTAGTTTAAACGGTCAAAAGGGCATAGATAAATTAAGTTTCATTTTAACATAGAGCTTTTATTATTTGATGAGCAAAGTTGTGTTTTCTGTTTTTTGAATTAAGTTATTCTCAAATAATGTCAAGAAAGAGTAAAAATTATCCTGACTGAAATGTTGTTACATGTTTAGCGACATTAATTTTAAAACTCGGCGAAGAAATTTGACGCCATTAATAATTAAGTAATTTGAATAGTATTTCGGCTTTGTTATCGGACATTAAAATGTAGTGGGCGTTCGACACAACTGTTGTGTCACGTGTGTGGGTCTTCTTACTGGATGGGGGCAAAGATCCAGATCTAAACTATTTCCAATTCTTACGATAAACTATTTCCAATACTTTCTTATTCTGGACGGAAGCAGCGAACCACTCATCTGGTTGGTGTATTGGTCTTTTTGACACAAAATAGAAAAGTAAAAATTAAGAATCCTAAACTGTCATCGGCTAAAATACCGAATTCTCATAGTGAATAATTACCTCAAAGAATTGCCTGAACTACCTCAAACTTTCGATCTGTGCGCAACTTCTGAAGGAAACGAAAACGCTCATGAAACACTTCGTGAAAGCTTTGGATAGGGGCGGTGATGCTTTATATATTTAAAAGACTAATTTCCTAAAGTTAGGGATGCAAAAATTAAGAAGGCATATTCGTTGGTCTTTGAATCAAACAGTTGATAAAAGTTAAAATATTCAAGAAAAAGCTTAGTGATTTGATAAAATCAGCTTGGCAATCTTTCCGAGAAATATTTGAATTTTCTTGGTAAACTGATCAAGTCACTGAGCTGATATCTATGCGCTTACTTTGGGCTGTAATGTTTCTTTGAAAATACATTTTCTACTTAACTAATTTCTGATTAACATTTAGATTTCTTTTCAAAAAAATTGCGTGCTATTAGCGATGTATTCGGTGAAAGACTACAATAAGACATTTATTTATTTATATTTACTTTATTGTACACAGCAAAGAATTTAATACAAATATAAAATATTTTTTTTTATTATTGTGGAACATTAGAACTACACATTCCAGAAGCAAAATACAGAAGAAAATCCTGCAGTTACGTAACAACATAACTTCATTTTGTTGATAAAATTGAAATTTTCTAAAATTTTCTAAAATTAAAATACCATAAGATTGTATTTCTAGTAGCCTTATCCTTTTTATAAACCTAAGTGGACAATTTTTCATGTAACATACACAACACACACCTATATTGCGTAAAATATCAATATGTGAGTGTGTATTTTAGTGCATGGCAATCAAAAATTAAAAAGTGGAAAAAGTAGTCTTGGATTGTTGGAATGAATAATAAATTAGTTAACAGAGACCTTATTAAAAGGACGGTCTTCCCGCGATGTTTGTTTTATGAATCTGTGGACGCGCTGCAGGGCAGCTTATCCCTCCGAGGGACGCTTTCTAAGTCAATTACTTACCGTTAAACAATTTGTATAACATTTGTACAGAGTGTATTAATTACTTATATTATTAAAGTAACCTTTGTTCAAACGAAATCAAAAAAACTTGTTATAGACAGCTTTTCGTTATTTAAGCATTGATTAATTGTTACAAGCTCATTGAAAATGTAATCAAAGAATCTTTTATATCATTCATAATAGGATAATTACAAGTTTTCTTTTTAATATTATGGTTTATAACTTATTTTTGTTTCCTGATACCAGTTTAAAATAAAAAATATAATTTAAAACAAATAAATTTTAAGTGTTCGTATTAACGCAATCTGATATTATTTCGAAAGACCTTTAAAAAAATAAAATGTGTTATTTTAAACGTCTGAAAAGTTTGTTCTATAACACAAAGCTTTAAATTTGAAAGAGTTTAACTTTAACATGGAATTAAAATTTTTGAGGAACGTGATGCAGGCTTATATTTAAATATCCAGAAAAAAACATTGTGATTATTTAACGCCACGCGAAAAATTAAACCATCCAGTAAAAGTACGAACGAAAATTTTTTTCACTTCAATTATACCTAAAATGCATGTATTAAAATAATAGCCTTTAATTTAACCTGACAACGAAAAGAGCACACAGTAAAAGTGAACACCAGACTTACCTCTGTGTATACCACCTGTTGCGTAGAGAATGCTCTCGCAGCGCTTTCAGCCCAACTTATATAGGGCGGACCGCCCGCGCGTCTGCGGCACTCAAACATTGATAAATGGACGGATTTTTTCGCAAACACAGAGCTACAGTTTGAATTGCCGATTCTAATAGACAACGTTCCGTTTGCGTAGAAAAAATATCAGTTTTGATTTGCTCCGTGTGTATTGTTCCTCGCAATACATGTTAAACTGGGGCCGTACGGTTGTCTGTGTTTTAATAAATAATTTATTGAATCTGTAATGTCGGTGATTGACTAAATTCTGTAATGTAGTTTTTATTAATGTTAGGGGACTTATGAATATATTGCTCTTATATTTTGACGCATGTGGTTGACATTACGGTATGCGATATTCATCGCCCGTGAACACTCGCCACTATAACGCTCTTTCATATGAATTTCCAGAATTTAAAGCTAAAATAGTGTACTTTCTTGAATTTCGTTTTTAATTGAAATTGGATTGGATAAATATTATTATATATACGAAATTTTGGTGTAAACTTGTCCGGTGGCCTACAAACTATTGATGAATTGATGGTGTTTCTCATTCCGTTTGCGGACTATGGAATTAACTATTACTTGCTTTTTATTAAGTTATTATTACGAAATATTTGGGTAACTACTTTTATCCCTCAACGGTCTTGTTTAAAGGACATCTTTATGTATAGATATATTCTATATTAAATATTGCATTTTTAATAAAGAATTATAGTGCCATCATATTTTCAGTATCCGTGTTGCGTAGAATAAATACAAGTTATTATAATAACTTCTTGTATATGTTAATTAAAAGTTAATCAAAAACTCAAATTAATTAATCCTCAATCTAGGCGATAAGTTATTCTTCAAGATTATTATTTATAGTAGTGAAGTATAGTAGTATTATTTATTCGATAATAAATTTGCAATAGTACATAAGAATAATAACAATAAATTGAGACCCATTTTGTATGATAATATTTATTTTAACCTTCATCGCATAAACATGTCAGTGACTTCAGTAAAAACTGAATAGAGATATATATAGATCGTAATAACGATACTTATTTAACAAGCTTTGATATTAAAAATTTTGGCTTCATTTTAATTGCTTACGATCAACAACATGCCACGATAATGTTTATATAAAAAATTAACTAAACATAATACAACTTAAAAGACCTGATGAACAATTTGGTTATTGAATATTTTTCATTATTACTTATAAAATTTGCTTATGCCTAATTACCAAACAAAATTGGTTTGGTCGTAAAGCGGAGGAAGTCAGTCCTTATCAATTCGTGTTCAGCCAAGCAGACATTCAGACAAGCTTATTGTGTAACGGTGAATAATTTATATTCTTTTTTATTCAAAGATCAGATTCTATTCATAAATTTTACACTAATAATTGAAATTAGTACACATTTTATATGAGCTTAATTGTAACCCTAAACAATGGACTTTTAAAGGAGATATTCCTGTATAAATTACAATGACTATAGTTTTCAGTTCTGAGATAAGCGTGAAGTTTAACCGTAAATGTAAAAGTGTTATCAGAGGGTTTGCGGCTTGGAAAGTTTGAGAAGCATTGCACGCTGAGGTAACGCCATCACGTCCATGGCGCAAGGGTAATAGGTTTACATCCCACCGTTAGACTATCCTATCGCATTAGTTACAAACGAGCTGTAGCCTCAATTGCTAATTAGCATTTCAACCAGACTGTGCCCCGCTGCCCCAGCCCTTGGAGAAGGCAGTGAACTCGCAGCGGTGTGGCAGAAAAAAAAACTAACAATGGAAATATTTCTGTACGTCGCGACGGCTAAAGATCCTTGTGCCTGACTGAATGTCGCGACAGTCAACAAGGGTATTTAAACCCATTGAGATGGGTACAATTATTTATGTTGGGCAAATTATGTTTTTTTTTATATTTTGTCCTTTGTGAGCAAGGGAGACATACAATTTTTACTCGTTCTACTGCCTATAAGGTTAATCGGCATACCCTTTTAGATGATAAGTAACTAGACTTTTGTAAACGCTTAAACATCTATCTTAATATCGATTCTGTTAATCGCTAAACCTTTCTGTTATCCGTATAACTAAAGATGTTATTAAAAAGATGCACTCGCTTGGTGTCTGTCTCGCTTTTCCTCGTATTCCAGAATTACTTAATAATTTCAATTATAAAATAAATAAAAATACATATGTAAGCTCTTAAATTTTAAATGCATTTAAGCTCAAATAATTTATAAGTCAGATACAATCAAATCAGATAAAAAATGTAAAATTAAACTATGTAGTTACCTACAATACACATATTAAAATAATCTACATAAACATGGTCTCACCAGCGTCTATTTTAAAATTGTTGACGTTGAGAAGAATGAAATAGTATGAACCCGTTTTTCATTAAGGCCTTACTTTACACACGCATGGAACAGTTAATTACGTGCGTTTTAACATACATTTAATTTAGGTGTTAAATTTCTGAAAAACTTTAGTAATAAAACAAGCAAACTTAAATACGTAGTATTATTAAATGTATGTGAATATTTGATAATTTATTTGAGAAAATAGAAAAATTAATCTATTAAAGGTATGTGAATATTTGATAGTTTATTTGAGGAAATAGAAAAATTTATTAGGTTTAAAAAAAACAGAAAATAAAACTTTAGAATGAAACTTTAGAATGAAACGTCATACAATATTTAGTTGAAATATTATTGCTTAACTTGTTAAAAATATATTCCTTTAATTTTAATTTCGTTCCGTTGAAGTTTGTGTTAATGAAATATTAATATTCGCTCAAACGCTGATGTGATAGGTAGCGTTATGCTAGACCGGGGTAGAAGCAGACTTGCAGCTCATTGGTTATGAACTTCAAATAGCTGTGGGTTCGATTTTTTTGCGCATTTATGAGTTTACGGTTTATGAGCTACGAGGAAAGTTTCTGCTGGCATTACGACGAAACGCTTCTATCACGTTTTTGGTATTAATGATCTGGTCATAGGAATTTTATTTTGATTTTCGCCGTGAGAAGTGTTTATCAATGAAAGGTTTATTTTATTTATTTGGACTAACGGTAAAAATCAGCCCCCTTCGCTATCTTTCATTTGAACATATTATCAATTGGAATTATAATAAAATCATTATAAGAATTTTTAAAAGATTTTTTGGTACTATGAAAACATCCTGCGCGAGTCCGAGTCGCACTTGGCGGGATTTTAAGGAACAATCAAGTTTACATCTCAATGTTCACCGAGTCTCATATTCGATCCTTTTGAGCGCAAAATAAAATCATCCTTAACTCGTGTAGACACCGGTGACGTCAGTGTTTTCGATGCAGACGCACGACCAAATATAAATCCATGCAAACGCACGCAAACTTAGTTAGCCGACATTTCCCGTAGCTTTTAGTGAACTTTGCGGGCAGGGGGCTGGGTGGAGGGGTAACGCCGCCGTATTGTAATGAAAACCTTCCGGCGCTTTGTAGGTAATAATTCGCTTTCGCTCATTACCCGAGCCGCCATGGAAAATGCGTTGGCTCGTATGTTCGACGTGCACCGACCCAACCGAAAGTGCAGGCTCGTAAAAGCTCGTAGATAAGTGAGCTCGTAGAAGCTTAAACATTGATTGAAAATAGAACGTGAATGTAAAATTCGAAAGTCAAAAAGCCGCTTTTAAATAATATATGTATTGAAGTCAATGATGTTTCATAATATACATGACACATGTACATGCTGCGGGGCGTTTGAAAATTGTTCCGCTTTACTTTATATGACATACTAGCTGCTGCCCGCGACTACGTCTGCGTAGAGGGGTGAAAATTTAGGGTTGTATGTATTTTTGTATGCTGTGTCATAAAAAAATAGAAACAAAAAGTTTTATATAAAAATTAAAAAAAAATTTAGGGGTGGACTACCTCCTTAACATTTAGGGGGACGAAAAATAGATAGTAGCCGATTCAGACCTACTGAATACGCATATAGATAGCAGTCTATAGAATTACACCAATTACTGTGTAATTTGAGTGCCTCAGTTTCGGCGCTCTAGTACCTTTTGTATATAATATCATTGTGTTGAACTATTAAAACACGTTACTTTCCCAATGGCGTGCACAGAGATTTCAGACAGAGTATACAATAACGAAGAGCCGTGATAGCTCAGTGTCCGTGCGCTCGCCTTTAATTCAATGTACTCGAGCAACCTGAGTTCGATTCCCGGTGCCGGCACCAATGAAGTTTTTAACTTTAAGTGCTGACTTATCACGTGCTCTGCGGTGAAGGAAAACATCGTGAGGAAACCTGCATATTTTCGAAATAATAACAAAAAAATATTTCGAAGATATTTGAAGTCCGCCAATCCGCAGTGGGGCCCCGTGGCGGACAATGCCCTGATACCCTCTGTATAGATGGCCTTTGCCCAGCAGTGGGACATGTATAGGCTGTTACTTTACTTTTATGCAATAACGAATTTCTCGATAACGTAATTGGCCACTTAAATGATACCCAAAGTGGCCTTTGAGAAGCCTGCGGGATTTTAAGTTTGTTTTCTTTAACGAAAAAAAAAGCTTTCTGTAACTCGCGGCTTTCATTATCTTGGGGATTGATCGTATGGGACGACAGGGAGTCCAATGTTTATTTAACCGACTTCAAAAAGGAGGAGGTTCCCAATTGGACTGTATTGTTGAAGTAAAACTTCTTTAGGCGCGACTAGGGAGTAACTCAGATTGTTTCTGACGGAAGTAACGCTTTTTCTTACGGAAGTAACGCTTTTTCTTACGGAAGTAACGTCATAAGTATATGTCATATTTTTAAAATATGACATATACTTATGACGTTACTAAATATTTGATCATTTCAGTGATATATGCCGTCAACGGCAAAGAAGTTTTACTTCAATCGCGCGTAAAGGTTACACGCACACACTTTTTTTATGTTTGTTACCTCAGGACATTAGACCGATATTGATGATTTTTTTTTATTTGAAAG